GAATGTAGTATTATTGCATATGAAAAAGTATCGTAATTTTATGTTATTGTTTAGTTAATGTGTTTTATTAATTTGCCTTTAACTTTTTAGTACTTATTAGTTTCACTCTTTCCGTCCGTGCGTCCGTGGAAACTTATCTTTACTAAAAACTTATTTCCGTAGAAGAAAAGTTTTAACTATCTCCCCTCTTTAAAAACCTTAAAAATATCATTATTTAACTATTTATTACAATGAAACTATAAGCATTTTTCAAATTTTGCAAACGTAGCAAAGCAGTGGCTTGCTTCTTCTGCCGCAGGGTGCCATATTTGAACTTTAGAAAAATAAAATGGGCGTCAAAATTTACGGTTATCAGAAATATGTTTTTGTCAAATTTTTTTATCTCTTTTTTCTTCCATACCGCAGGTTATAAAAGCCGAAAACTTTAACAGCTTTTAGACAATAAAATATAGTTCATTTCGTTAGAAGAAAATTTTTTTCATCTCCACCCCCTCTCAAGTTATCTCCTCTCGAAATTTGTAAAATTTGAATTTTAAGCGCCTTATATTTCCGAAACCGCAAGCTTTCTTAAATTTCTATAAACACAAAGAGCTAACGGTAAATTCCATGCCATTAAAAAACATAATTGCCTCTTTAAATTTTTTTTTGCTTTATTTCAAAGACTGCAAAAATTGTTAATCCGAAATGTATGCAATTCTTGAAATAGTTTCGTTTATGAATGAAAGTAATTTTAGTAGTGTAGTGGGTATACGTAGATTGTTTTTAAAAGCAGTATGTTCATTTGTTGAAGAGAAAAGTGCTTACAATACATACCATTGGTTTGGCCCAATTTTATTTTTTTATATTCGGTTTTATAACATTATCATTTTTCTTGTCGAGTTAATACATAGATTTTGTGTTTATTTCATCGGATGATGAAATATATAATTTTCCCGCTTTATTATAGTTGCTGGAATTTTTGAATAAATTTAAAATATTTGAATTTAAATTTTTGAATAAAGCGCTGCCTATCATACCGAGTTTCGTTGGAAATTCGGCTGCCCATTTTTTTAAAACAGATACCAACGGTAAAAGATTCTCCCTTTCCCGCAACAACCTGTATGATTTTGCTCCAGTTGAATATACTAATAAAGGTGTAATGTCTTCTGGAAACAAAGTTTTCTATTTTTTGTAGTGTTATACTCGTATCTTTGCTTTTCGTAAATATTTTTTTAAAGGTGTACAGACCATGCTCAGTTTGTTTTATTGTTGGTTTCTTAACTTTCCTTTTAATTTTCCTGTTTCTCGATCTTAAGTATTTTCCAAGTTTCATCTTAAAAGAAGAAATAAATTGAAAATAAAAAATAAAGAATTTTTTGATGAAATTTCTTTATATTATATTTAAATATTTTAAATTATAAGGTTTGGGAAGCCGAATTTGCAGCATTATCATATATCACTTCCACAGATTGAAAGTGATTGTCAATAAAGTAAGAATATTGTTTTGGATCAATACTTATAATAATTTCTTCTTTAAATGTTTTTTTAAACTGAACTAATTTAATCTGATTATTGTTTAAATGCTAAATCGGTTGAACAATTTCTTCAAAATGGTGAAAAATGTAAAATCGGCCCGCAAATCAGTTTTCGAGCCCTGATCTTTCCAAAAAATTTATATGCTCATTGTTTTAATACGAGGAATTCATATATTAAATTTCAATGAAATCGGTTGATTATTTCTCTTTATATACACAAAAATGTATATTTGGCCCGTAGTAAACGTCTAATTGCCGATGCCTGATTTCTTCCAAAACACAGGAATTTTCGCGGACGGTCGAGCTGAGCTTACATATAAAATTTCATCAAAATCGGTTCAGCCGAACTTGAGATGCACGCGTGCACACACAGACCGACAGACAGGTTGCTAAAAATAGTTTATTTACACTTGCCTACTATGGAGAAGTACGTTCCCACCGAAAACTGGATATGCAAAATTTGCCATCACATAACCTACCTATTGCTTACACAATACGGTCGGTAAAAATAAAAGAAGGAAAAAATTTAATTTTTTCCAAAGTTCGAACGCTTGGTATTCCGAAAGTACATAAAATACGTAATTATGTAACGTGTTTATTTTAATCCGTTTGCTAGGTCTAACAGAAACTGTTTGTTTGAAGCCCTTGTCTTGTTCGTGACGAAAGTTATAATCAAAAAAACTTACATAGGTAGAAATTTCGTGAAAATTCGTTAACATCCTTATATCTCGGAAACCCTTGAAATTTCGCACCTAGACCGGAAAAAAGTTTTACCCATCTGCGAGCCTCCTTCTGAATCACCCTGTATATTTATATACATTTATAAGATTAAATGCAAACAATAGAGTATAATTGGAAAGTAATCGATGCAGCATCGATGTGTAATCATGTAAAAATCATGTTGCAAAATGCATTAATACGGTAATAGTTTAAAGTTTAGTGTCCAAAAATGCCAGAAATACGTATCGTATGCGCACTATATTTAATCAGTTGTGCATCAATTTGTTATTTTGTATTGATGCAAAGTTTTTTAAATGGAAGCTGAGAAGTAAATAATTTATTATTTCAACTTAATAATGAATAAAGTTAATTATTTCTTTATGCACGGTATTAATATTCTTAAATGTTCTATTTTATTAAAATCTTCAAAACTTAATTGAAATTTAAAATTTTTTTAAATAGATTTTCAGTTGATAATAATTTTAATACTTTTACACAAAACCTTTTCAAAATAAACGCCAAAAAACATAGAAAGTGTCCAAAAATGTCAAAATAATATTGCAAAGGCAAGGTAAACGCATCACATCGATATAGCATTAGCGACTTTTGCTTGTATCGACGCTGCATTGATGCACATTTTTGATTAATTTCCGATTATACCCATATTTACCTTTATATTCAAAAATTACTTGCATATATAATATTTACTTGTATATGTATTTACTTGTATACTTTAATCTTTTTATCCCTAAGCGTGACAATAAAATTCACTTGTTTTTACTCGCGGTTAGGTGCAAAGATACTTCAGTGGCAATTTTTAATAATAATTAATACCAAAATAAGACATTTTTTGCGAAATTTGACTGTTTTAGAATTTAAATATGTACATACTTATATATTTATAAGCATATTATATGAATGTGCATTACATGTAGAAAACATACATATTTATTTTACAGCCAGATTTTGCAAAAAAATGTCGATTTTTGATTTTTTTTTTATGCATGAGGTCGGAAAATCATTCTACAAATTAGTTTTTTATTACTACCTATAAATAAAACATAAGCTGCTAATAATAATAATTCAACTAGGTCACATTTTGAAAAAATTTTAACGCTTTCTTTAACGTACAAATTTCGGCAAAAGCTAATACGTCGCAATCAACTTAAAGCTGAAACACAAAAAAATTAGCATTTTCCAGAATTTTTACGTACGTTAATCATGCAAATAATTTAGAAATATTTTGTGATTAATTCATGTACAACATATCACAGTCATTTACTTTCTTTATTTATACTTTTACTAAAGTTATCTATCAATTTGATGCACTTGAATTGAAAATTATTTTGCAGAAATAACCACTATTCTCATTTCTTTTTTTTCTCTTTCGTAAATAATTGACAAGGAAAAGCAATTTTCATGGCTGGTTCAAATGCTTTTTTTCTTGCCGTATTTTTTAAATAAGTTGTTAGTTTAGTTACTGTAGTTCATGTTCAGTAGTAAAATTTTAATGCAATGCTATGCCATTGTTTTTTTATTACCGACCGTATTGTGAATACAATAGGTGGGTTATGTGATGGCAACAAATTTTGCATATCGAGTTTTCGTTGGGAATGCACTTCTGCATAGTAGGGAAGTGCAAATAAACTACTTTTAGCAACCTGTCGGTCTGTCGGTCTGTGTGTGCACGCGTGTACCTCAAGTTCTGCTGAACCGATTTTAATGAAATTTTATATGTAAGTTTATTTCCACCATGGCACGGATTGATCAACTTTTGGGATATATCAGGCCTCGGGAACTGCACTTTTTAGTGGGCCTGTTTTACATTTTTGAAGATTTTGAAGAAAATATTCAATCAATTTTCTTGAAATTTCATATATAAGCTGTGCTCGACCGTCCGCAAAAATTCCTAACTTTGGAAGAAATCAGGCATCAGAAACTGGGCGTTTACTACGGGCCAAATATACATTTTTGCATATATAAAGAGAATTAATCAACCGGTTTCATTGAAATTTAATATTTAAATTCTTCGTATTGAAACAATGAACATATAAGTTTTTTGGAAAAATGAGGGCTCGAAATCTGACCTGCGGGCCGATTTTACATTTTTCACCATATCTACGGAACGTATTGATGGAATTTCTTGAAATTTGATATTTGAGTTCTGGTTGTTACTTAAACTAACTGGCGAGCATTTCAGGGAATTTGGGTAGCATAAAGCGAAACTCTACTAAGAGCCAAATTTACATATTTCTAGGTATGTAAACTATAAGCTTACTAATGTCCTAAAAGTTGGAAAGAAGTATTTAACAGACATTTTTATAATATTCTGTAACACTTTCACGTAAATAGACAATACACATTGCGGTCGGTTATATGCTGATCACATCAGATTTTTTATAATGTGTGTACCATATTTTTTAAATCATGAATAGTGGTATGGTTATAGTGGTTATAGTATCAAAGCCGGTCAGCAAAGTAGTTCAGTTTTCATTACACATTCGAACCGTTCAGATCATGGAAATTTCTTCTTCAGTAGTTTTTTTAGTACAAAAAAATTAATTTATTACTCTTAAGGAATGCATTTCACTTAAAGTATATACGTAGATTATGTGTGTGCAAATATAGTGTTGATAAAATAATATTTTGCAAAGATATACATATATATGTGTATAAGTTTATGCATATGTACTAGTGTATTAATATTACATAGCTATAAAAAAACAATATGAATTAGCATATTTAATTAATTTTAAACGTGTTTTTTTTAACTTTTAAAATAAGTATTTTTGAGTTTTGGATAGTGTAAACAAATAATTGTACGGATTTTCTAAAGAAATTGTAATTCTATTCGATTATTGCATATACATATGTGTATAAAGTGTGTAAAAAGATACTTTCTCTTGCAATGTCAGACTAAAAGAAGCAGAAAAGTTTTATTTGTAAGAATCGTAAAAGTTTTAATAGAGTCAATTAAACAGAGAATAATAAAAATACATAAAAAGATTGAAAAAATTTGGTTTTGTAAACTATTCGGGTTTAATATATTTAGTGCTCTGAATCTTAGAACACTTAAAGAGAGAAGAGAACACTCAAAGTGAAAGAGAGTTTAATATTACTGTTTAAAAACTGTTATACAACAAAAAAATGAAGGTAAGAAAGTATTGAAGTCAATTTGTGTTTACAACTTTGCAATAAAATTTTAAATATCTATGCCATTAAGAAAATTTAATATGAATTTACACAATAATTACATTTAATAAGCATCGAACAAATAAATATTGTTTAACCTTAACGATGTTGTATTTGCTTAATTTTTTCTTTTAAAAGCTTATGAAAACCAATATTTTACGTAATCTTTTCTTCATATTGATATCTTTTATATAGCAAAAACACTAAATAATGGTTTTAATCAGGTATGTCAAGCTCATTTGTCATCACCATTAGGGTTTCCACACATTGCTTCGGGTCGAACAATAAAACAACTTAAACTACTAAATTATACCCAAATCTTGATTTTTGTTATCAACACAAAAAATATAAAATCATTTTTATGAGTACTAAATCTGAGAATTGGTTGAGATTAATTCGCAGTTGTAATTTTTAATATTTTTAACGTTGATTGAACATGTTGATCTGTTAATCTTGACCTTTTAGCCGTTTTATTATTTTTTAATATCAAAAACAATTGTTCACACCAATATGTGCTACCAAACATGGCAAAAACACGCTTAATTGATTTATAGGTAAATAATTATAAAATTTAATAATTTCAGGTTTTCTAAATTTTTGTGTTGCTTAATACAGAATCGCACAGTATATGGATTCAAATTGAATCAAGTTTTCAATATCAACAAAAATGAAAAAATAAATAGATTAAATTGATTTTGACGTCTATTAAAATCTAAAAATCTTCTTTCAAATTTGGTTTTTGATAATTTGATTGATTAAAATATATTCGAATCATTGAACTGATTCAAATATACAAGTATTTGATTTATAAAACAGTCGCTTTTATCTTCTCGAAACTGTGTATTTTTCGCTAAATTTTAAGTTTGATTTTTGGATATGTAACAAACCTCCGCAAACCAGCACTTGCACTGATTAACACTTCCCAACTGATCTAAATCAATATTTGTAACAAAATTATAAGAATTAAATTTCACAATTTTCAAAAATCGTAACAGGCCGCGTGTTTGACATGCCTGGTCTTAAGACAATATTTGTCTTCAATATTTTAAATTCTATCTAATCAGTCCTAAGTCCTAAGTGCTAATAAAGAATCATTTTACTATATACATATATACAGGTTGATGCACAACAAGTCCGTCCTTTCTGCAAACGCAGAAAGGTAGTGGCTTGCTTCTCCTATCGCAACATACTACAGTTAAACTTTAAAAAAACAAAATGGCCGTTCGTTAGCAGATTTTAGACACTAATAAATACTTTATTTCGTTAGAAGAAGTTTTTTTTCTATCTCCACCCCCTCTCAAGTTATCGCCTTTTGAAATTTGTAAAATATGAATTTTCGACGCCTTATATTTCCGAAACCGCAAGCTTCTTCAAATTTCTATAAACGCAAAAAGCTAACGGTCAATCCCATGACATTAACTCACGCAATTAACCCTTAAAATCGAGCATTATATTAACCCCTTCTTATATTATTTTTTGCTTTATTTCAAAGACTGCATAAATCGTTGATCTTAAATATTTGCAATCGTAGAAATAGTTTTGTTTATGAATGAAAATAATTTTATACATAGACTGTATTTTAAAAGCATATTATTAGTTGTTGAAGGGAAAAGTACTACAATACAAACCATTGGTTTGACCCAACTTTATTTTTAAATTTTTCCATCCTCCCCGTCAATCTAAAAAATTGCTGGCACTTTAAAGTTATATAAAGTTTACCACATTATCATATTAATAATCAAACTTATTATTATACTTGTACGAACGTATGTTCGAAGGGTATACTAAATTTGCCTTACCGTTTGTAACGCTAAGAAATAACGGTATTAGATATAGAATCAAGTATACGTTTTTGATCAGCGCCAAATTCTGAGTTGATTTAAATTTGTCTGTCCGTCCGTCCGTCCGTCCCAACGATAATTCAAAAACTAATTGAGCTAAGTTCACCAAATGTTCACAAATGATTTATTGTAGTAAGTGCCAGAACCTTATTTAAATTGGACATGATCGGGGTACCGGTTCGGATAGCTGCCATACAACTTCAAAACTTATTTAGCTATATCTCAGAAACTATAAAAGTTGTGATATTGAAATTTTACACAAACAAATATATTAGTAGGGCCAATGCGTCTCATAAAAATGGTTGAAATTACTTGGCTACTTCTGGTACCTGCCATACAACTTCAAAAGTTATTTGGCTATATCTCAGAAACTATAAAAGCTATGGTATTGAAATTTCACACAAGCGAATATGTTAGTAGGGTTGATGTGTTTAAAAAAAATCGCTGAAATTGCTTGGCTCCTTCTGGTAGCTATCCTACAACTTCAAAAGTTGTTTGGCTATATCTCAGAAACTATAAAAGCTGTGATATTGAAATTTCACACAAGCAAATATATTAGTAGGGCCAATATGCTTGATAAAATTCGCTAAAATTTCTTGGCTCTTTCTGGTAGCTGCCATACAACTTCAGTACTTTGGCATACACAGTATTTTGAAAAACACATAGTACTGAAATTTTGCATAAATTAATATGGTAATACGGCGAGTTAAAGTCATACTCTGCCTCATAATTAGTTATGGCATCCTTATTCGCACATAGGATAATAAATTCGTACGGGTATCACAGAGTTGACAAGGTCAACTCTCCTTTTTTTCTCGTATTTATAGAAGATAAAATTCAAATCAATAAAATTTCCTAATTAGAAATCACTGTTAATTAATAATATAGCAGTGTAAAAAATTAAAAATTTGAATCTGTTTAAGGTTTAAGCTTTGAAAAATTTATTTATGTAAATTTATTTATATAATTTACTTTTATGTTCAGTTTGTACAATAATTTTCAATAAAAGTAATGGATATTGATGTTTCTAAGTGCATCCAAATATTCAACACAATCATCATTATATATAATTACCATAACTAACATGCAAGGTGCAACTAATTTCGTAAGTTAATAAGTTTGTTTTTATCATTCTTACCTTTTCTGGAAAATTATATGAGTAATTCAAGTATCTACAATAGGAAATCCTTTTTTATTTAATAACACTGATTTACAAAATCAAATCGAAAATAAAAGCAAAATTATAAAGAAATAAAATGAAGCAAAAAAATTAATTTGAGTATATAAAACATGTACATACATATGTACATATTTATAATATAAGTATGTAAGTAATTACTGAACTGTCGATGAAAGTAATTATTGGAAAAATTCCACATATTATCAATACCACGTACTATATACATACTTTATACTTTCATCCGTTTATTCTCACTAAATAATTTGTTCATTCAATCACCACCTAAAAGCAATTATTTAATTTTCTCTAAAAGTCAATTTTCTATTTTATAAACAAAAAAAGTAACAAAATACATACATACTTAATATTTATAAAAAATATTATTTTACTTTTTTTCTCTGCAATCAAATGCGATTGCTGTGTCTTAATCATCTTTTGACTTTGCATAAAGTCTCTCTTATTATATTTGTTTAAAAAAAAACTTTAATTTTATTTATTATCTATAAACATACTTACACAATAATTTCTCATTTTTTTATTATTTGCTCTTTTTGCGTTTCTGTTTGATTGAGTACAATTTTGGGAATATATTCCAAAAAAATAAGAATTGTTAAAACCTAAGAATAGGAATAGCAAGAATATGAATAACAGAGAAAATAACAGAGCATTTGTATGTAAATGAGCGTGAATATGAAAATTGTGTGGAAATTACAAATTTCTAATTACAATATCTAAATATAGTTGTTGTTTTCTAGTTTTTGGTATTTCGAAGAAAAGACAAAGGGACAAAATGAGCCCAATGGGTATTCCTATTTCAGTGGTAGTTATATGATATGTTAGACTGTATTTATTTTTTGCAGAATAAAAACATAAAATGTCATTCCCTGGCAAACCATAGTTAGTTATGTGTTTTACCACCAAAACATCCTCCTTATATTCTGATCAACAATCAAATTTGCTTTGATATAGATTGAAAGAAATTCAACGCTCCCCGATTTGGTGAAGCGCATTTTGTGCTAAATCAGAAGGCAAAGACATCTTAAGCCTTCTAGGAGAATCCTGGATAACAAGGACCCGGGAGGCTTCCATATTGACATGTTGCTCCAGGCGAGCTGTATGTCTCACCTCTCTTTCTTTAATTTCGTCAACTGCATATGGAATTTTTAGATTTCTGTGCAAATCCCCTTTTTTCACATAGCAAGGGCCATCCACCATATTCCGAAAACCCTATTCTGGAACGTTTGTATTCGCTAGACATGTATCCGTTTGGCATATCCCCACAACTGGATACTATATAATCAAACCGGTTTAATAATTTGGTTATGAGGTAGGACTTTATTCTGTAACGGCAACCTTGACTTGCGACCTAGGAGCCAATACATTTCTTTTTATTTTAATTCTAATTCTGTTTTTAAGCTTAAATGGAAAGAACATGTTAAGAAGAAAAAAACAGAAAAGCTGCTCTAAACCCAAATTGGTGATTCGGAATTAATGATCTCTTCTTAGTAATTACTTTTCAAGTTTCGACATAATTGGTAGCGGAGAAATCGGTCTATAAGACTTGGTCTCATTTAAAGGTTTACCAGGTTTTGGGACTATTATAACTTCTGCCACCTTCAAAGCATTAGGCAAATATTTTAACCTTCATTAAAAGAATTCATTAAAACAAATGTTTTAATTATGTTTTTTCTTTCCTTAACTTTTACATTTAAAATGTAATAAAAGTTGTATGTGCTTTCTTTACTAAAATTTACTAAAAAAAATAAAACTCATATTGTGGAATAAAGCAAATTAATATCAATTATGGGTTATTTTTGCACAAAATAAGACGACTTAGTATAAAAATGCCATTTTAAGAGGTTGGATACATTTTGGGTACATGTTTTTCTCGAAATTGGATACATTTTGTTCTTACCGAGTGGGAACACTGGTTGACACTATCAATCTACTGGTAGACCAACATATTGGCCAAGTGATAAAAATTAAATACCAGATCTGCTAGACTTCTTTATTGTCAAGAAAATCTCGCCAAATTTCATTAGTTTATGATTTGATTCGGATCATACTGGAGTTATATTAAATTTAACTGAGACAGTTATCAAGAAACGAAACAAGCTCATGTTGATTTAAAGAAGAGATAGAGAATAAAATTAACTAAGAATTAAATTAAGAGGTAGAGAGTTTATATAAAATCATACAAAGCGCTGCCTGGAATTATACAAAAACACCAACATCGAAATTTTATTTAGAAGGCTCTATTCGTGCAGCAAGAAATTGGCAATCGTTTCTTTCTACTTTACATATTTCATTATGTTTTATATTATTCCTTATTAAAATTGCGTAACCATCTTTTGATTCATAAAGAGGATGCACCGCTTTATATTTTATGTAACCAATTACTTTTATATCTGTTTGCTGTTTTAAATGTGTCTCCGTTACTAAACATATATCAATATTTTGGGTCCTTAGGAATATTTCTAATATACGCTTTTTATTGAGAACGTCATTTGCGTCCCACGTCGCAATTCTAATTTTATCTTCGTTCATCATTTTTTATTCTTTTTGGCGTACAAACATTATCATGCTTGTCTTTTAATATGTTCAATCTCAATGAGATTTCGTTCATAGTTTTTATCATATTTTGCATCATTTGCACTATATTTATATTGTTTTCAGCAGGTTTTTGATGTGGTAAATCTCTTCGTTCTTTGGTATGGTTATGTTTCACCCCTCGCCACTTGGGTATATTGTATTCCCTGCACTCTTTTACTCAATGTTTTTGGGGTTTTTGAAGTTCATTTATTTCATTAATGAAATATATTAAAATATCAATTAAACTTTAAATTTTTGAAAGGGTATTTATTGATACAATCTATATTATTCACTTTGTTTCCTTTTTTCATAACTTCAAATATCATTTTTCTTAAAAATCTTGTTAACAACGATTTCATCCTAGCGAATTAAATTGTCCACGAACCATAATATCATTTTGGCGAATATTCGAGTAAGTTATTCGATTCGAGCACTTATTCACTTCGCGAACCATAATATAACCATATTATTTATTCTTTTAATTATCTCTAAATGATTTTCGAAATAAAAGGCATTCGTATTTTTCAAAACGTACTTCGAGAATATTTGACATTATAGCATGATGAAGCAAATAATGGAAGTTAGTTGTCCCCGTCGTTAATTTATACAGCTTTGTTCTCTTTTTCTTAAACAAATTGTTTACATTTAATATTTCTATAGCGAACGATAACTGCAAAAACCATTTGGGTGTAACCGGGCTTAAGATGTTTTCAAACTAAAATGGCCTGTATAAAGAAATTATATAATTATGTCGCTTCCAATCTATCTAAATCTATTTAGGTTTCCTGACGAATCCGAAGTGTTGTTAACAGTTTCGGACCACGCTGGACATTAAATTAGTCGCGTTTAGTAAGCTATCTGCAGTACGCTTTTTATTTTGTAGCCTTCAATAATAAAAAAGCGGTATAAATTTTGATTAAATCTTTCTATCGATATAATTCCAAGCTGTGTCGCTAACATTGCTAAAATGATAACAGACGATTTTTAAGCGACAATCTCGACGGTGGTCTAAAATCTGAAAATTTCTTACTGGGTTATAAAATATAAATGTATAAGTTCAGCACTTATTTCATAATCATCATTATATTCATTTCTTCTTAAGCCATTTCACAAAAACTTCATTGTTATATCTGACCTGAAATTACACAAACGTTTACCGAGTTTCATGAATCTACCTTTATTATTTTTCCAAATATTCAAAATTAACTTTCGGAATTGTATGGCAGCTACCCGAATCAGTGCTGCCGTTCCATTAAAATTTTCAGAATATATGTGGAATATAATTGGACACATCTTTACATTATTAATGATATTAATATCTCTATTACTTTTTGAAATATTGAATCTTTTTGACTTGTGTGGCAGCTACCCGAACCACTTCTCCGAATTGGCCTAAATACAATAACAGCCGTCGTTGGCACAAAAGAAAAAACTTGTGAAAGTCTGGTGTCGGTTGCATTATTCGTTTTTGAGCTATCGTGCGATCGGATGGACGGACAGACGGACGGACGGACATGTTTAAATCGACGCAGAATTTTACGCTGAGCAAGAGTATATATATATATATATATGCCCATAATGGAGACGATTCCTTCAAGTGGTTACAAACTCCATAGTAAATATACCCTTCACGAAGGGCAGGGTATAAAAAGCACCAGAATAATGTTATCTACTATGTTTAAAACTTTCATTATAGAGGATTCCCATATACGTAAAAGTAGTTTTAATTAAAAAAAAATATTATTATACTGCGAAAAGGTTGTTAAAGGTGCCGATACTTTAAAATGGTTATAATTAACTTGACAAAATATAACTATAAGATAAGTCATTTCATTCTTCATAATAAAAAGCAATACATCCTAACATGTATGCTATATATAAAAGAAGTTAGTTGATTGTTAACTAATTTTCTGCGATCCGGCTTTTGTTGTTTAAATTTTGTAAAAATTTAAACAACGAAAACTCTATTTATTACTTATGAAAATATCAATTTAAACAAAATTAAGATAATAAAAAGTTGCCGAAATTTTAAGAGATTAAAAATTTTATTATTAAACAAACTAAAAGTAGTATGTATCTCCTAAAATGTTACGTTTCTAAAATTACACAAATTATTCCAAACAGTATCAATATTTAAAAAAAACTTTATTTTAGGAATATTTTGGCGACCTTATGTTTGTTGTATATTATAAAGAGTTACTATAAAATAAGACATTTATATACTTATTATGGTTTATTCATATTCTTTAGGAGCAAATTTCTATAATTTTCAACAATTTCCATGATTTTGACTTTTGAAATTTTTTTTTAGTTACTTAAATGTTTGATACTTGCATCCTTAACCGTTTTGTCGACATCTGAACTTTCTGCGTCAAGGAAACCACTAGTTTTTCATAGTTGGCCACCGAAGTCGAAGCAAATCGATTTCACTCATAAATCTCATGGAAAACTGTCTGGAATAGCTTTATCAGCCCCAGCCACAAAACAAAAAACGTTACTATTTCAAATCAGAAGTGATAAAAGAGTACCGGTTATGATAAAACGGGGCCCTTATCATCAAACAACACTTGCTTCGGTACCGATGTCAGTTCATCGACCTTTAGTACGACCAATAAAGATGGCATATATGCAGCCGCACCACCATTTTTTGACAAAAAGTTCTAATCCAGTTTTTGCAAAACTTGTACGAAAGGCACCAGTTAGTACTTTGAAAATTAAATTAACAAGTACAAATCCAAAACCCTTACATGTTGCAGTTTCAGAAAAACCATACATATACGAAAAGCCTTCTTTAAACTCCGTTTCAGACACGCAAAAATTACCGGTAAGTTTGAATGTATAAGTACGTATATATTTGTATTTATTATTACTATTCTGGTTAATTTTAATTTTTATGATATGCATCGTTATTTTTATGATATGTATCGTATACATACGAGTTCATTTTATGATGTATGCATATACATATGTACATATGTAGGTATGTTCTAATAAATTTAATAATAAAGTATAATATGTATGTACTCTGTTACTGATTTGTAATTTTATTTTCAGTTGAAAAGCCAGATAAATTTTGGGCATAATAATTTCGTACCAATACACACCATACCAGCACCTAATTTGAATCTAAACGAAAATTTTGTTCAGCATGATAATAATAATATATTCCATGATATTCAACCATTATATACTTTACCTCCAGTTTCTAACACTCCAAAATTTGCCAATCAATATCAAGTTACAGAAATGGAACAAAGCAATGATCATACTATAGTTGACCCGCTCTCAGGAAAACAAAAATATTTTGCACCAGACCCAGATCCATCACTACCAACAAAAAAAATTCGGCCTGCTACGGAACCATTTAATACGCCAAGCAATGGACAGCCGTTGCCACTAGATGTTCAAAATAGTTACTTGCAGCCACAAAAACATTCAATAGTTCAATTCACTAATACTCCTTCAGTGGAAACCATACCTGCAGAGTCTTACGCAATTACATTAGCCAATCATCCACACTTTCAACAATTTATCCAACTTCAGCAAGCAGCTCCGATGGCTGTTTACGATCCTACATATCTAGTTACTCAGTCAAGAAATTTGTACCAACAATATCAAAAACAAAAACATCAATACTTATTTGAGCCAAGTCCAGTTTCTTATGCAAATACTGACCTAACTCAAGAAGTAGCTAGCGATGGCCAAATTATACAGTCAGCTAAGGATTTTTCTAATTTAATACACCCGACATTTGATCCAGTTGCCGTTCTCGACGTATCAACTCAGAACTCTCCAACTTTTGCAGCTTTAATACAACAAAATCCTCTGCATCAATCAGTAGCCAACGGTGGCTTTATCGTTTCAAATTATTTTAATGACGATCAAGAATATAATAGTCCTGCTTCGTATGAAGAATACGTAGAACTATCCAACAGGCAAAGAGAAAATGATAAAATTTTGGCACAAGCTAATATAGAAAGACAACAACAATTACAACAACAATTATTGGACCAAGATGCACCGGCAACGCAACCAGCAGTTTCTGCTTACGATGAGCATCAGAGACTCTTGCAAGAACATTTGGGATCTACTCCACTTAGAATTTTTGTCCCAGATGACGATTTAGCTGGACATGACCAAGTAACAGTTTAATTTTACATAACTTAGCTCCATAAAGCTAATGAGTTCTATTTTTAGAAAATCTTTCTCCAAAAAAGATCTGATGAAAAAAAAAAATTAAAACAAAGCAAGAAACAAGAGAAGTCTGTGAAACAGGAACAAGAAGGTGGAAATAAAACTAGTACTGAGATTTCGTAGTAGCAAAATTAATCGTGTTAAGGGTTAATGATTTTTAAATTAATAAATAATTTATTTTGAAGATGTAGTTATTTTTTCCAAAATGCCGGTTATGGGGACTTAAACAAATTAATTATGTATGTATGTCTTTCATTCGAAAACTATCTTTTGACATTTTTAAGATGTTGATAACAATTCTCGAACAAAAAAAAATTTTAAACTGCATACACATACATTGTAAACCAAAAATGCGAGTGATAAACTGTTCAGATTTAAATTTTTTGCATTCAGCCGCAAAATTGCATTTTTCATTTGTCAAAAATGGGGGCTATATTAAACTTTTAAAATCTACTTATTTATATAAAAACGAAATAATTATAAAATAATATTTACGTGAATTTTAGGTGAAAAGGTGCCTAAACCATGAAACTTGAAATACACGTACATGGTCAATACATTAGAAACAAAAAGCAGAATATGGGCATTGGGCATTCAAATGGCAAACTGAAAAGGTAGAAGCGTCAAAAAAATAGTCATCGTGAAAAGAATAAAAAACAGCTAAAATGTATGATGAATTGTGATGAAAATAGTTGCATTAATATTTTTGTTTTAAATTTTCGCATATTCTCTATAATTCAATAGTCAGTATCATTATAAAAACAGAAAGTTTTTTGGAAGACAGGAGAATTGGGATACGTTCAAACTTGCATTTAGTTTATTTTCCAAATGCATTTTTCTAGGGAAATTACAAACCGAATGTTTTGAAATTTATTTATTAAAATTTAATTGTTTTGAAACGATAAATTTATTAAAATAATATTTAGAATCAGTAGGTCTAAAAATATGTGCGTATTAGTCAATTTCCTTTACAAAAATGACTTCCAAACCCCTTGCTATTTTCATACACATTTGGAAATTATTTTTGATTTAATCTTTGAGTTTTGGTATCCTGTTAGATATATTCGGCTTTAATTTTTTATTTTCTTCTTCTTCTTCTTAGCGTGCCACTCCGTTACGGAGATTGGTAATCATCAATTTTATATCCTCTTTGGACTTAACCGCTCTCATCAGTTTATTTGCCGGCATATTGAACCATTCTGTAAGGTTGCTGATCCATGATGTTTTACGTCTTCCTCTGTTTTTTTTACCAAGAATCTTGCCTTGCGTTACTAATTGTAGTAATTGGTACTTGCTGTTTCTCATAATGTGTCCAAAGTAGCTTAATTTTCGCGATTGAATGGTGTAGAGCAGTTGTTTATCTGTGTTCATTCTTCTTAAAACTTCCACATTTGTCACCCTGTCGCACCAGTTTGTTTTTAAAATTTTACGGTATGACCACATTTCAAATGCTTCTAATTTTTTCATGTCAATCTTTTTTAATGTCCAGGTTTCAACTCCATAAAGTAAAATCGACCAAACATAACATCTTAGAATTTTCATTTTTAATTTAAGGTTTACCTCGCTTCTGCACAAAATTTTACTCATGTTACCAAAAGCTTTCCTAGCTTGCTCGATCCTTGATCTGATTTCGTTGCCATTTTCGGCATTATTTTTGATGACTGTGCCTAAGTACTTCACTTGAGTTACTTTTTCTATGGTTACGTCTTCAATTTCTAAAGACTGGCCATTTGTGATGTTTGTACCTACCGCCATGTGTTTGGTTTTATTAATGTTGATTTTTAAACCAAACTTGACACAGCTTTTGTTCAACTCGCTAACCAGCATTTTCAGATCATTTACGTTTTCGGCAAGAATTACGGCATCATCTGCAAATCTTATGTTGTTGATTATGACTCCATTCACTTTAACACCTATTCTGAGCTGATTGATTGATTCTTTAAAAATTTCCTCCGAGTACATATTAAATAAAAGAGGAGAAAGAATGCACCCCTGCCTTACACCTCTCAAAATTTCAATGTTTTTTGTTACGCCATCTACAGTTCGTACTTGTCCAACCTGGTTCCAATACAAATTTTTTATGATTCTGACATCTTTGTTATCAAGGTTTTTGCTCATTAGGATCTCCATCATTTTGTCGTGTCTCACCTTGTCAAAAGCCTTCTCAAAATCAACAAAGCATGTGTGAACTTCGACATTCATCTCTACACATCTTTGTATTAGTGTATTGTAAGTGTAAAGAGCATCTCTGGTGCCAAGTGCATCCCTGAAACCAAACTGTTCATCACTTATATCTACCTCTAGTTTTTTATATATTCTCTGGTGTATAATTTTCAGGAATAATTTCAGTGTGTGGCTCATTAAAGAAATGGTGCGATAATCACTGCATTTTTCGGCTTTACTTTTTTTCGGTAGTGCGATGAATACTGATTTCAACCATTCGTCTGGAATTATTCCTGTGTTGTAGATATTATTAAAGATTTTTGTCAACAATTTGATGCTATTCTCATTTAGCAGTTTTAAAATCTCATTCGGGATATCATCTGGTCCTGCTGCTAATTTGTTTTTGGCTCTATTAATGGCAAATTCAACTTCATCAACCAATATTGATGGACCCTCATCACTGTTTAAAAGTTGAACATCACACCTTGTATCATCGAAGAGTTCGGCAATATATTTTTCCCAGCTGGTCAATCTTTTTTCTGCTTCAACTATCATTTCGCCGTTTTCGTTTTTCAGTACGCCGTAATTTCTTTTTCTGGTGGTATTGGTTACAAGTTTGACTTTTTTGTGCATTAGCTGATGTTTATGACTTTTATCAAGCTCTTCAATCTCGTGGCATTGTTTGCTCCAGAATTCATGCTTCGCCCTTCTTATTTTTACTCTTATTTTTCGGTTGGTTTCTTTATATTTTTGCGAGTTAACATTTTTCCATTTTCTTCTTTCGTCGAATAAGTTTAATATTTCGTTGGTCATCCAGCTCTTAGTAGAACTTTTGGTATATTTTCTTGAAAGGTCCTTTACTACTGTGTTGCAGGGATTTCTGAACTTTATCCAATTGTTGTTCACATTATTGTCTAGTATTATTTCGTTAGCACTCCTACAAAGCAAGTTATTTATTTTGTTGCTTAAACTTGACTTCAATTCTTGATTATCTAACAACGCATAGTTTGGTCTAGGAGTACTTTTACTTTTATTCATCTTTTTGAATTCAACTCTGAGTTTGAAAACGATTGGATTATGATCAGACTGCACATCAGCTCCTGGATACGTTTTGACTGACTTGATGGCGTTCTTGAATCTCGAACTTATAAGTACATAATCGATTTGATTTCGTATGATGTTGTCTTTAGTGCTTCTAGGGGACGTCCATGTATAGAGTCTTCTTTCTGGTAGTTCGAAATAAGTATTGGCTATACATAATTTATTCTCAATACAGAATTCTATGAGTCTACCGCCTCTATCATTTCTTTCTTTTTATTTTAGTCGTTACAAAATTTGCACTTTCCAAATTTGTAATTCCTAAAATTCTTAAAATTTTTTATGTTCCACATGAATTACAAAAAATTTGGAAACTTTTTTATTATTTTTTATTTTGAAATTTATTTATACATACATATGTACACATGTATAAGCCAATAGCTTTCTATAATATTCATATTATTTTAAGTTTTCTAAATAATTTTTTGTGAAATAGGAAAATATATATGTATGTATGTAAATTTTATTTAAAGAAAGGTATACATTCTCAATTTTCAAAAGCCAAATTAATATTTCATAGAATGGGAACAGCAACTTATAAAGCATCTGCTGCCATTAAAATATTTATGCTTTTAAAATTTCGCAAGTTATAATTTTATGTGACACAGAATCGCAAAATTTCAAAATATTTACCCATTTACTTTTCTCAATAATTCTTAAAACAAATCCTAATATTAATTAGTAGTTTTTTGAGACAATCAAAATTAGAAAATAAAATACTATCTATTATAAAAATGTGCAAATAGCTCAAATACATAATACACCTATAAAGCAATAAAATAATGAATTTAGAACGTTTTAAACCACATAATTTTGATTTGTTTGAAACAATTTTTGATTCAGTTAGGTTAAAATATCTGGTAGAAAGACAGTCTTTACCATGTACATATGTATGTACCTATGTATAAAGCAAAAAAATAATGAATTTAGAGCGTTTAAAACCACATAATAATGAATTTAGAACGTTTAAAACCACATAGTTTTGATTTGTTTGAAACTGTTTTCGATTCAGCTAAGACAAAAAAATGATCTTTTATTTTGATTAAACGAACTATGCTGGTGTTAAAATAATTTACTTATTTTTATTAAGTTATTTAGGGTGGCCCAAATATTTATTAAGCGTTGAAAAAGTTTCATTTAAAAAATAAGTACATACATATACCTACCTAATTAAAATGAGTAAGTAATATTTTTAACTTGTCTAAAATTTTCTTATAACAAAAGGAAGAACTTGCAGAAAAATTATCAAGTTTCTCAACATGGTCATTTTATTTATTTATTTAATTATGAACTCAAACAACAAAAATGAACTGTACAAAATATGTAAATTAATTTCAATAACACATGCTGTAGAGAAAACCAATCTCTTTTAAAAATTTACATGGTTAAAATTAAATACAAATTTATAATATTCGATATTATGTGTAGACACATTAAATTTAAATCGAAAATACGTATAAATATGTATGTATGTATATACGTACTGCGGCATGGCGAAATACAACTACATTTTGTCCATAAAATGCGGGTTCCCATTTTCATTTCTTCGTTTAGTTAAAATTTCACAGCCATTATCTGTCACTAGCAATGTATGTTCAAATTGTGCCGACCACTTTCCATCTTTAGTAACAGCGGTCCAATCGTCTGGCCAGGACTCGTTTCTCCAAGTACCTTCAGAAATCATTGGCTCAATAGTAAAGCAATGTCCAGATTTCATAACACCTACAGCCGAATTTTCTAAAAAAAAATTAGTAACAATATACTTATATGTAGATGTAGCTGGGTTTAGAAATAATATTAAAGAACGATTTCTTGCGGAATTGCCACTACTTATTCAAAAGTAGAATTTAATAAGAATATAATATTTGTAAGCACTTACATAATATCTAATATCATAAAAAATTTTTTTAAAAATATAAACTTACTGGCATAATGTGGTACATTTGGTGCTGTATGAAATAGTCTGTGAATTCCGTGGCCACAATAGCTCTTTACCACACTATATCCATGCGGTTGTACATGCTTTTGAATAATGTTACCGATTTCTCTGTACTTAATTCCTGGCCTAAGATAGTGTTTACATATTTGATATAATAATTTGCGTTATTGTATTTATAAGAATTTATTTAAGCTTACCTAACAATTTCGATAGCTTTGCATAAAGATTCGTAAGTTACCTTAACAAGATTTTTATGTTTATCTGAAACATTTCCTACAAAAAACGTTTCATTTAAGTCGCCATGAAAGCCTCGGTGATACACAGTAACATCAATATTACAAATATCGCCATCTTCTAAAGGCCTCATATCGGGGATACCGTGACATATTACTTCATTAACTGATGTACAACAAGATTTTGGAAATTGATAATAATTTAAAGGTGATGGATAACATTCACGTTCAATTGCAGCCTCATGCACGATTCGGTCTATTTCATCAGTTGTAGTCCCAACTTCAATAATAGCAGCTCCAGCATCTAAACATTCTCTTCCCAGCTTACAAGCGACTTTCATTGCTTCAATCTCGTCATCATCCAATACTTTAATCGCAGTGTTCCCTCGTAAGGCCTCCTCGCAAGCAGATTTGCCTTTCGGGTGGTCAGCATAATCAGGTCGTCCAATTTCTGCAGGCACTTCACGTTTTTGTGTTAATGGAAATGGTCTTAATTTTCCAGTAAATGTAAAAAATGGCCATGGATTATATTCGCCACTAATAGAGTTTTTATTTTTAAGTTTTCCTTCCCCTTGAGCAATACCATGTAAGGCTTTATGAGTTTTCCAATAGCCTTTAAAGCAGTCTTGTGAACAAAAATATGATCCTAAAATACCAATTTTCAGGCACGTTGGGCATTGCAGAGTAGCTCTCTTTTCACAATTTGGAGTTTCACATTTATGTTCGACAACTGCAGACATCCTTCTAATTAATTTATATTTTCGAATAATATATACATAGATTGCTTACGAAAGTCCAAAGCCAATTAAAATTGGGCTTTTAGATTCCCAAATAGTTATTTATTGTGTGTATGTAGGTATTTATTTTATTTCAAATTTTAAATATTTTCAGGTTAGTTTTCGTAATTACCCTTTTTTCAATGACATTTTCTTATTCAGTATACCTTCATAGTTCATATAATTATTATGTATGTAGATATTTGGAAATGACAACAGCGTCACGTCGCAGTAATGGACGTATAACCCTAAAAACTTTTAGAAAACAAAAATGAGGCATTTATAGAATGTGAGCCAACAAAATTAGAATTTAATTGCCCTTACTCGATTTGTACGCAAGTAATTGGGGAAGGGGATGTGGAATGTGGAGAGTTTAATAAATTTGAGAAGTGGATTATAACTTTTACAAGCCCTAGCAAGGATACTGCAAAAATTTGCTAAAGTAGAAAAAAATTTATCTCATTTTATTTTACAAAATAGAGTAGAAAAAGAATTTTTTAATAAAATCGCAAGTGTAGTAATTAGAAGCATTTTAGAAGTAAGTATATCAAATAACACGAATGCACATAACATACTAATTAGAATTCAAAGTCTTGCTTTTCCCAAAAATAAACCGGAACTTCTAAAATCAAATTTCGAACAAGTAAATCGCCGTTAAAAAATCTACCTTTTTGCTATCACGGGGATCATATGAAAAAAAGAATTCGGAAAAAATCTAAATAAAATTCATAAAATATTCTATTTCAATACAAAATGGTTTTTTGTTATTTCAGTTTCAAATTTCGTCCTTAAATTAAACATTTTAAGAAATCTTTATGTAGTATGTGGTCTCACCTAGTACGTATAGGTATATAGTATCATTCAAAATTTTTACTTACTGAAATAGTTTATTGCCAAAAACATCTGAGTTACAATTTTATAAAATTTTAAGCAAAAAACAGACCAAGGGAGATTTGTCAAAATTCATTTTTAAATGGGGAATAATACATATTTAAATGGGTAAGAATACACATATAAATGGGACCACCGCGACTTCACGGCCAGAGGCGAGTTTAAAAATTCCTATTTTACAGCTGGCGGTTTTTTATTTGACATAATCTGTTTCTATGTGTGTATGCCATTATATGTAAAATACCGTTTAATTGATTTTGCCGTTGCGCTCTTGTTTTCATTTTCTTAAGTGCAAATTATTCAGTTCGTACTATTTTCATAGTACGAATTTAAAAACGTCATTTTCGAAAAATTTTTGATTTTACTTGCACATTTTAATTCTATTTGGTTATTAAACTACAAAATAATTACAAGAAAAGTAAAAATTATAAGTATTATATACATGCATGTATGTAGATAAATTCCAAACGAAGTTTTCACTCGAAAATTAAAAAAATTCTCACTTAAAAAAAAAATAAACCAGACAGAAAACATGAAAAAACTTTTAAAAACTTTATAAATAGGTGATAAACGTCAAATTTCAAAGTATTTATCAAGCATAAACAAATATTTTTCGGTTATGCCAAAAATCGAAAATTTTGGTTTTAGATTATAAAAGTGTGAAACTTAAAAAAACCATTTGTAAATCCATTTTGGTCATTTTATTTTATTTTAATTGAAACGTTTTGAAAAAAAAGTTTTTGTTGATGAATAAAATTTTTTTCAAAAATAAAATCTTCTGAAATAACCAAGAAAAACATATGTTTCGACAGCTGTAAGATTTGAAAAGTTTTTGAAACACTAAATTTTACTTTACAAAATTTGAAAAAACTTTAAACATTGAGAAAGTGATAATTTTCTCTCATTTTTGTTTACCAGGCAGTTTGCATGCAAAAACTAAAAAGCTTTTAAAAGTTTTTAAAAACCTTTTTATTCCAGACGAACCTATATAAAAATACTATAAAGTTGATTTTTTTACCAACGGAAAGAATAAAACAAAGGAAATTTTTCATCGTTTTGGTTCTGGTTTTACAATATTATTTGTAGATCTCTTTCTCTAGAACTTCTGGCAACACTGGTGTTATTCGCATGTTGCTCTGGCTAATTTTCTTCGGAAGAGTAGAGTAGATATTATGTATATTTACATCTATAGGAAAAGTCACTAAAAAGTTGATAAAATATAATTAATGTTGAATCGTTTCAACTTCTTGTAAATGGTAGTTTATAACTTTTTTTTTATTTTGACTATAATAATATACAAATTAAATGGATAAGGGCAAATTTAAATGTTAGCTGGAAAATATTTTGAAAGCAAACTCTCATCGCCGTCAACAGAGGATGAAGAAGATATCGATATTGATTATGATTATCAAGAAGTGCGTAGTTTTGATAGAAGCAGTGCAGGTAAGGGTCACGATCCTTTTCATGAATTCCACCGAATTTATTGCGTTATATCAATTTGCTTTTTTTTGTATAAAATTGAAGAAACCTTTTTGAGGTATAGTTATATGTATATTACAATATGCATATAAAAATCGATAAATACTGTTTAATTTTGAAAATGCTTCGCAAATATTGTAATATTGATTTCTACCGCTTTATCAAATGATAAATAAATAGTTTAATCTTGCAATTTCAATAGCAGTTGTAAAAATACATATTTTGAATGAACACATTGAAACAAAAAGCATTTAGTTATCAGTTTGTTTTGTTTTCAGGTTCAATACCCTGGGCAGAAGATGCCATTAAGCAAAATCAACAGGAATGGGAGCGTGTAGAAAGCTATTTTTGCAACGAAAATCTTGAACATTTGCCAACGGTGGACAAAGAACTATTCCGCGAAATTCTCGAATGGAAAAAGTTTTTTCCTTACGCAAATAGACATGCAGCAAATAAAAAAAAAGTTTACCATACAAAAAAAGTCGCAGACAAAAAATTACCTGAAAATTATTTAGAAAGTGATAATGAAACGTTAGTTGAATATTCTTTTGACAATTTAAAATCAAAAAAAACCCTATTACGAGATTCAATATACATACCAAAAAACAAAGAACAAGAAATACGAAATACCGAAAAACAATCCGCAAAATCCGTAAACTTTCCTATCAAATTAATAAATGATTCAAGCATGAATACCTTAAACAAGAATTTTGCTAAAAATCTACGAATAAGCTCAGTTCCGAAAAGCAATAAACGGAATTCTATAAATCATAATAACTCATTTGTTCCAACGGTACAAAATTTACAAACTCAAACTATTCCAATGAAAATTATTCAGCGCCATTTTCCTAACCCTAATTTCCATCCATTTTATCCTAGCCAATCGGCGAAATTTTTACTGGAAAAATATCCAAATTCAGTTGTTACAATTGAAAAGAAAATCTCACCACATTCAGCAACTTACTTTCGTATGCCACCTGTGTATAATCACAATCACAAAGGAAAAGGAATACCTGCACAATCATCTTATCAAAATCGCTTAGTTAATCAAAGTCACGGATATGGTAGTGTAGGAGTATCACGATTAGCCACTAGTGTATCTAGTAAACAAGTTGTACTACCAAATTTACCTTCGCTAAATGCGGTTCATTCTAACGATGTGCCGTTGCAATCAAATTTAAGATCAGACGTAAGATCTATATCAGCAATCAATTCTAAGCATTATGGAAACAGGCAAATTAAAACTATTTCAGATTTAAAGAGAATAGAATATTTGCCTTCATTAAGTGCTTCAAATAACTATAAATACCATCCATAAATTAAAGTTAATTGATTCACTAAAAGTTTATTATTTTGTGTACAAAATTAATAAAAAAATATTGTGTTTAAATTAAGATAATTAAAATATTTTATTAAGAAAAATTTGGGACAAGTACGTATTTTAAGCAAAATAACTTTACTTAGGGAGTACCTACCTAAATTGTGATTAGAAGAAATTATTATTTTTTTGAAATTGGTAATATCGTGAATTCAAATTTGCTGTCTTATTGTGTTGCCACACAATTTTGTTTTCAAAACCTTAAAAATATTTTGCCAGCTGATTGAATTTAAAATAAAATTGAAAGATTTATTAATCGGCATCTAATTTAATCAAAATTAAAATATTTGTTTAAATAAACTTTTATTATATTTATAGAGGTAATTTGAAGTGAAAAATTTATTTATCGGTTTTAATAAATTATCTAATTAATAGGTATATAAAATTTTTTATTTTATTTAAAACACTAATGTTTTTAGGCTGTTAATATACATACTGATGATGAGACCAAATACTTGTTTAAAATATCAATGAATAACCTGTCCGTCAAATATTGAAGGTATCTAAACGTAAGCGCCCATCATTTTCGGTCAAGAATAGAAGATCCGATACTGTTTGCTCACTTATTAACTGTTCAATTCTATCATTCATCTGAAAAAAATTTTGTTTAATAAATTAAATTGCAAAAATTGTGTACTGCGTAATTGTAAACTTACACCACAGCATTTAAAGTTTTTCAGAATTTTCGGATATTTAAATTTTGGGCCAAAATTAACAGTAACAGTTGCGTTTTTGTGTATTGATATTGTGGGGTAATATGAACCAGAATATATATGTGAAAATGCAACGCCTTTATATACACCATTTTTAAAAAACACAATCTTGCTCTGAGGCAAAACTTTTAATGCTTTTAATGTTTCCTGTACCTTATCTTTATCTTCGTAATATAAATGACTTTTAAATTTAACTAACGGCTGTAAGTAAAAACAGTCAAAATGAATAAAATTTCTAAAAAATTTGAGTACCCTATCTTTGAATGTTGTTGGTAAACAATTTACAATGCTTTCTTCAGGTAAATCAATTAAAAATCCTAAAGTATCCCCTTCATTATAGCCTTCGCTATAATGCTTTCCACGGCTTTCGTGAAATACTGTTCCTTTACGTGAACGCCAAGAATAGCCAAACTTATCATACCCTAAAGGTGCTTGCAAATTGCCATATTCTTGTCCCCATCCAATTCTTGTAGCCGATCCTTCAGGCATTTCTTCTATGGTAGCCTCGTAGTACCATTTTCCTCTGCATACATCTTCATAAAATACACAGATAATTTAAAAAATTTTGAATTGTTATGGTTTATGTATTATTATCATGCACATTAAATATGTTAAAATATACGTACAATGGCTGGATCGTACCATACAGTATCCTTTTTCTCCAGTAACCGTTAACCGATCTTCTGATATTTTCAATTGTGGGGCCCTATCATGTAATGCCAGCAGTACTGAGTTTGGTACTAAAGTTCTATATAACCATCCAGGTATTGGTTTACCTGCCCAATCTGAACTTTCATCAAATTCCTGACGAAATGGGGCATGAGGATCTGGTTCGGCCAATATGTATCGATATCCGTCTTTATTAAAAGGATGTTCAAGAGGATAGCCGTGAGGAGGAAGCTTTACTGTAGCAATCGCATCAGAGGCTGGGCGACCTTTTTTTCCAGTTGGACCTGCTTCCGAATTTGGATATTTTCGCTTATATTGACGGTTATTTTTAGATAGTGAAGCTGCCATATAAAAATGTTTAGGTTATCACATATTACTTAAATATACGCAATATATTAGTTTTTTATTGTTACTTTTACCGGTGTAAACTGGATCATTTTCAATATTTTTATGATTGTTTTCCATTACAAATACGGAATTTTAGTTTGTTTCCCAAATCTAGATTTTTAAACTTTGACCCATATATTTTGAATTTTTTATTATTGCACTATTAAAGCAATACAAATTATTACTAGATACTCATGAATGTTTTTAAATAATTATTACCAATTTAATATTTACTTATGTAAAACAGAATAGGTTCAAATTAGAATCTTGCTTCAAATCTGATTTCTATTATATTCGTACATACATATGTACCTCATAATAGATAGTTACTTATTAAAACACTAAATAAAATTTTATCCATTTATGTCATATTTTACTCAATATTGGAATAATAAAATTAAATTATTCAGATGGATAACTCCGAAAAGAAAAAAGAATTTCGAAGTTATTTTGAATTTTTCTAAATTAGTAATTATACATTAAATTGTACGTACATATGTAACTACTAAATATTTTATTAGTATAACACCAAAAAAGATAACCTCACATAATCATATGATTTTTAGAATAAGCAAAATGAAAACAATAGAAATATTTACGAACATTTATCCAAAACTCGCAATGTGAAGAGCAAATTGTTTTTCAGAGTAAAAGCGAAATAACAATGTCAATGTTGTCAGATAGTGAAATCTGTTTTAAGCTAAATAAAAATTAAAAGGAAGTCGTAGATATTGCAGAGGCATCTTTGAGCGCACACAGTGTAATTAAATCGATGTTTTTGATAATTGAATAATACGAATTTCGTTACATTACAAACCAATAGTAAAAGAGATTTTTTAACTAAAATTTTTACATAACTATTATTTATTACGTAATTTTTAATAGATAGCTTATTTCATACGTTAAATATGAACAAAAATTAAATTAAAAAGATTTTTCAAGAATTAAAAATTTTTTGAAGCTAAGAAAATTAAAATGGTTGAGATTGGAAAGCTTTACAGAGCATGAAATAAAAATTTGGGAACCTTGATTGTTACATTACTTCTAAAAATTTACAATTTTGAATTTTCAACGTAAGTTCGAAGGCCGTATTCTTTTTAGCGAGTGAACTAGAAATTTAACTATTAACAAATTTTGAACAAATTACTTTTTGGCAATTATTGAACTATCATATGTATGTATTAATGTATATTATTGAAGTGTTCTTGAAAAGTTAAATGTAATTACACCATAAAAACAAATATATAGTTGTGTGGTCATGCTTGACAGATATTATTACGAACGTTTAAATAAACTTTATTCATAATTATAGTAAATGTTGCCTAAAAATTTATAACTTTTGATTAATTAATTTAAATTTTGCAGCCTTTTTGTGATTTTTAAAAACCAACATTTTTTCTTCAATGATTGATAATTTTTCCGCAATAGGTGTATGAAAAGAAAACTCTTTTATTCGGAATAAAATACTTTTTATTTTTACTAATGTATTTCGTGCGCTACACACGCACTTTATCAAAGCTGATTGAGAAGTATATTAATTCGCATTTGTTTTCTACTGCTCCCATGTGCCACATGGGTATCAGCATTAAAGTAGATAAACGTTATAACAAACCCTGGCTTTACGCCCATTTTTCCTGGTTTGCATGAAATTGGAAGGGTTGAACTTCCAGATAAAATGGTTGGCGGCATTTTACCAAAATCGAAGGGCTTTTGTTTTCGAGTAGACCTACCCAGGTGTTTAGGACAATGTGTTATTACAGTTCGAAACCATTAGCTGATCAAATATTGCGAAAGTTTAGGAGATCACATGTAACGACTTATACAATAATTTGGTTGAATTTTTGAAAAAATCAGTTAAAGGATTGGATAATATTGTTTACGCTAATACCTTAGCGGATGTACGATCAATAATGAAGGTAGTAGAAAAGGTTGAAATATTAACATTTGAAGAAGCATGCGCCGTAATTCCACATAATAGCAGTCCTGGATTACCATGGATTGGATCTGGTTTAAAGGAGATAGATGTAATTAAGAAGCATTCCTACGTGTTTAAGGAATACTGGGATAGGGTTGCCATAAATAGACCCGCGCAATCCATTCATGATTACGTTGCATTTGCGAGAAGTCATATTTCAAGTCCAGATGTCAATAATGTCCGTCCAGTCTGGGCATATCCTTTGCAAGCAATAATACAGGAGGCACGATACGGTTATAATATAATACAGGACTGTATCAATCCGAAATATGTCCGTAACACTGGATATGGTATAGAAATGATGTTAGGAGGTATGGAATGGATCAATAATAAGGTAACAAAGTATGGTCCAACCATGAAATATGTTATGACTGACTATAGTCATTTTGATTCATCAGTACCGGCATGGCTTATCCGTAATGCATTCTCCATTTTAGAAGAAAAGATCGATTTTACTAGTAAATATACTCTTGCACAAGAGTAAAGGAAATGGAGAAAAATTGTGAAATGTTTCATTAACACGTCAGTTAGGTTATCAAGTGGTGAAAGAATACAGACTTGCAAAGGGGTACCGTATGGTTCATATTTTATATAATATCCAGATATCTTAGCAAACGCGCTTTTGGTTACCTACCCGTGTTTGATGTTTATTTTGGAGATGATAGTTTGATGTTTTTGCCACTAAGGGCGATCATTGATTTAAAAAAATTTGGAGTAGTTGCATTGAAATCGTTTGGAGTAGTCATTAATTTAAAGATATCTTACTGGAGCACCAGAATACGAAATATCAAAATTTTATGATATTTCAATAATAGAGGCTCACCCCTAAAACCGGCTGAAGAGTTGATTGCTTCGATATTGTATACGCCATATTTTAAAGATGATTGGAATTATGTTCCACGCATTCCACGTATGTTCAAAGATATACAATTACGTAGTTAGGTTTTCATCGAGTCCAAAGCAGCTGAACGAGGCGTTAGAAATATTAGAACGAATCCAAGGACACAACGTTTTCTTAATACACTTTTCGTATCACAGTTCAATTTTTCTGTTAATTATTTTATGGATATTAATTTTACCATCGCAGTCATGGGCAAAATTAAAGTATAGCGTTTAAGCAATTTTGTGACGAAATTTCGCAACCTTTTTGTTAAGATATAGTCTTTGCTTTTTTATGCTAGGTAAATCTATTCACTTTACTTTGAATAATAATTCAAATGAAATCTAATGCGTTATCTGCTTTGGCTGAATAATGCATTTGAAACTTTAATGTTTACGCAATTGCAAAAATCTGTGTATCCATACATATACATTTATGTATGTGTGCCATAAAACATAATCAATAAACTTACTAAATACTCTATATTCAAATTTTATAAGTAATATAATAAACGATCATGAAAAAAAAAATACACTTATACCTTGGGTGTGCCCATCATCAGTGATTTTCAAAGTTCCAATCTTTAACATTAAATCATAGTTCGGTTTGATTTGACTTAGATCTACACAAAGTCCATATTTCATATCGGTGATTGTTTCTTCATAAGTAAAAGTTGTATTCACCTCTTTTAATAACGCTCTTTGGACAGTTGCATACCTGAAAAAAACTTTATAATTTCACTTTTTTTTTTCTTTGGTTGGAGGAATCACCATGACTGCGTTATTCGTCTCGGTATTGTTGTCATTGCTTCCCAATATTGTTCCATATATGGAATTATTTCTTCTTTGCTAAATATCGTTTTAATTACCCCTTGCTTAGCTGCAGCTTGTTGCATGTTAGCAATTGAAGTTACACACATCTGCGATATAGTTGCTTGACTTTTTTTAAAACTTTCAAGACCGCTTGGAGAGCAGTTTTTGCATAAGAAAACATAATTTGTTATGAATGGAATCAATCTTCCTAACTGAATTGCTATACAAGATTCATGAAACCATCTGTTGCAATTTGCGCAAAGGAGTTCTACAATATTTAAATTTCGCTCTTTTCCACTAAATGAAAATTTTTTAGTTATCTTAAACCCTAGACAAAGTAAATGATTTACCAGTAACAAGATTTTTCCATTCCTCTAGATTTATCAATTAATCCATACTCAGATTGTATTTCCAAAAGCTCCGTTGGACTACTACTATTTTGGTCATCCATTTTATTTTATGAAATTTATAACATAAATATTTCAGAACTTAATTCAATTTTTTACTTAAAATTGAAGTTAATAATTCTAGATACAGAGTTTACAAAAAATAAAACAAAAGCACCGGCAACTACACAGCAAATTCAGCAATTGTCAAATGAACGAATGACAAGTTTTCGAAAGATTCTAAATCTAAAGCTCCAACTCAGAGATGTGTCGTTAGAACTATATATGTGTGAGTCGGCATGAGTTCAAACACTGAGTATGACTCATCGATGGCGGAAATTAGATAAAACATTTGAAATGAAAACTTCTTAAATAAGTCTAATCCATTTTCTTTTCATGCCATCATTTTTAAGAAAACTTCACATTAATGTAATATAATCCACTTTAAATATCCTATGTATCTATCTACATTTTATTAAAAACGGACTAATTTTGCTCAGAAAAAAAGCCGCTCCAGGTAATTAAGTCGTACGAAGTAATTTTTGTTTAAAACAAACAAAAACGAATTTTTTCTTTCACTAATTAAAAACATAATAAATTGACTAATCATGAATTAAAGTTAACACTATTGCAAAAATATAAATTGCTTTAGCTACTAAAATATGGTAGGAATGCATATGTATATGATTTACATAATGATAAACCTTTAAAGAGAAAAGGTCGAAGAAATAATAAATGTATCTTCAAAACGGTTCCGATTTAACGCTATGTTCCGAACAAAAGTTTGACTCATTTTTGACCCTCTACCCGGTGGTATATGACTCCTACCTTGTCGGTGAATCAACCTGTATATTGATGCACAGTATATTAAGAATAAACGTTACAGTCAGCGTTTACATATCAATCAAAGATCAACAATCACGATTGGATAGATGAAGATTAACTATCTAAACATCAAGAATCAATCATTTTCATCAAATTTTTGATTCACAAAAAAATAGTTCTATTTTAGCTAATCAATCTTAGTCAATCTTTCTATATGTACTTCAAAATTAAAAACTTAATCAATCACAATCATGATTATAATTCTTTGTACTTTAAGTTTAAAAAATTCATCAATGTCATTCATGAATGTCAATGTTTGATTGACATGTAAAATCTATAAAATCTAGAATCTAGACTGGCGCTACAAAACAATTTTCTGCCTAAAATTGATGACAGATGAGTTCCCATTTTTAGATTTTCCTAAAGTGCTTTAATGCCAAATTAAAATTAAATTAGATATGAGTGGATTGTGTTCACAAGGGAAACAACTAAGAAGGAATTGGCTCTGAAAAATCTTAGTACTTGCAGAGACTAAAAAAAAATATTTTGAAAAAATTTAAATAAACTAAAATATTTAATTAGAAAGTGGAAAATAAAAGTGAACAGTTTACTTGCAGAAAATAATAAATAATTGTGAACACAGTTGTTTTCCAATTTTGGACGGAAAATATTTTCGTGCTTTCCGTCTATAACTTTCGTTACAAAAAATCAAGGCCTGGACCACAAACATTTTTATTCATATTAGAATTATATTAAGTATTTCATATTAGAAGTATGCATTGTGAGAGACATTTTCTACATAACAAGCAAAGTTATTAATATCAAATGAACATTTTCTCAAATATTCTCAAAAAAAATTTTCAGAAACCAGCTTAATACACAAAAAAAAAATGCATAATTTTTTTCCGCTTGTAGTGTAGCATTTATTGAAATCTTAAAAAAGTGAACTGAGCCTGAAGGGTTTTTTTAAATCAATTTTTTAATGTTTTTATAACACAAAACTTTAAGAATTTAAGCACTATAAAATAGAAAAAAATTTAATTTTAACTTTTTCTAATACAAAGTTAGAAAAAAATTGATCTTGTTGATATTTATGATGTTAAAAAGAACCCTCTATAGATCCCATAAGAATACGTGTAAACTCGTCTGCTGTGAACTGTCATTCTCTCTTAGCGCCCAGGCCTGTATTTCTGTCAACCGTGGTTAGCCGTGGTCTGTATAAGTTTTTTTCTGAACGCTTAGAAAAACAATGACACGTTTTATAAAAGACCAAAATTAAGTTACTATTGTCAGAAATAAAACGATTTTGTGTATATCTGGTATTATCAATCAGTCATTAAAATTTTTTTCTTGCAGCTTCTTAAAAATTTAATAAAGAATTTAAGTGTTATTTTTTGTAAGTAAAATTTTGAATAATTAAAAATTTGCTTAATTTAAAGCATAATATTAGTTTGCAATTTAATAAGTGTATTTTAATGTCAAGTTTAGAAATTCTTTTTTATATAAAACTCTTAAACGTATACATATGTATGTATATCTACCTAAATTCATGCAGGTATACGTGTTTGTAAAAGCATTTAAATGTGTATATGAATGCATATGCATTTATGTATCTACAGAATCAAAAAATTAATAGAAAAATTATTAAATGTAAAACATGAGTTAATATACAATTTTCAATACTCATTGTACAAGACGTATTTAAATCACAAAAAGTAAAGGTTTAACATTTACATATTAAAATAAATCACTGAATGGTAATTTTATAAAAAGAAACAAATTTTGGTTTGTATGCTATCTATTTGCAAGACAAAGGTTATATTAACATGTACATATGTAAGTACTTTTTTTGGTTAAGCATACCAATCTGATGTAATTTTATATATTGATTTATTTACAAATAATTGTCTTTTTTCATAAAAAATATTGTTAAAATCGTAATTTCCTTTGTTCTGCCTTAATTTTTTAAGAGCTTTCGTATTTTTATTCCGCTTAGTGCTTAAGTTGGATTTTTCAATTTTATTTAATTTGTCTCGTTTTGGGATGAAATCTGGAAATTCTATATCATTTACGTTAAATTGATCAGATGAATTAACATGTTTTAAAGCTTTAAGTATAAAATATACTTTGGTCTCAATAATACTAATTTTCAACTCCAGGTTCTTCATTTTAATATAATCTATTTATATACATATGTATAATATGTGCACATGTCCATGCATATTAATATTATTGTAACATGAAATAAATTACCTGTAAGCAAAGCAACTTGAAATTTTTTGGTTTTGTTCTGACAGAAGGGTCCTCTTTCGCTTTGAACTTCAATTCGTGTAAATTTAATATTTTCATTATTCAAATCATTTAAACATTGTTTAATTTTATGAAAATCTGCTTTCTTGAAATATCTAAAGAGCTCCAGCAATTGAAATTCCTCCTCATTTTTAATTTTATGTTTTATTACATCTTGCTCATGTTTTTTGTTACAACCAGAAACAAGTTCTGATAAATCAAAGGCTATCTTTCCCTTGTCCATTTTCACTAAAATTTATTTCTGAATTTTGGAATTTGTTATTTTTTTTTGTTAAATTTTACTAAATGCTTTCTTTTTATATTGAAATCTTTTTCAATAGTGGAATAAATTTGGTTTACATTATGAACTAAGATATCTATGTTATGTTCCATATATTTAAATAAATGATGTGTTATATTCCTATTGACATTTTTAAATTACAATGAAAAGATGTCATTTAATGTAAATTAAAATATATTCCAATTCTTAAATGCAAAAGTAATGTAACGACTATGGTTTTTCAGAGCCTGTAGTTCTTTCTCAACTTTTTTAAATATTGTACGAATATTGAATTTTAGAATAATGTTGTTATTCTAAAAATCTGTAAGGTTACTATAATTGGATGTTGTTATTTTAAAACTTTGTAAAGGTTTTCTCACGGCTGACGAATTCCTACGGAAACTATAGATAGAGAGAGATAAATTGTTACTTATTTTTACAATTATTTTTAGTTACTTATATTTTGTTAAGTTTATTCTTTTGTTATCTTATTTTAAGTTAATTATACATCTGAAATCTGTAAGGGAGATTTCCCAGTAGATTGAAATAAATAAATAAATAAATAGTTGTTACCAGAAGTTTCTGACGAACTTTTCGTTGAATTTAGACGTATTCTTATGGGATCTGTAAAGAACCCTTTTTAACATCATAAATCTCCCATAAGATCAACTTATGAAAATTATAATAAGATTAGAAAAAGTTAAAATTCAATCTTTTTCTACTTTACTAGTGCTTACATTCTTAAAGTTTGTGTTATTAAAACATTAAAAAATTGATTTAAAAAAAACTTTTAACTTCCAGGTTCCGTTAATTTTTTTAAGATTTCAATAAATGCTATACTACAGGAAAAAAAAATATTGCAATTATTTTTTTCGAAGTATTTAGTTGATTTTAGTGTATTTTTTCAAATTTGAGAAAATGTACATTTAATATTAACTAGTTTACTAATTTTGTACGATATACCTCGCAAAATGCATACTTCTGATATAATCACATATACATATATCTAAATATTTTTTATGTGTATACTATATTAATTAAACTTATATGCTTCATAATTCATAAAAATTATTATGTGAATTATTTTTATATTAAAAGTCCACATAATTCTTTTTTTTTTTATTTATTTATTTATTTATTATACTTTATTCTCTGAATTATTACAATAATTTTACTTAAACTAAGAGAATAAGAAAACGGCATTATTATTTAAAGAAAAATAATGTAAATGCCTAATTGTGTTGTTAAAAATTATTATTTAAATCAACATTTGCATAATAATACAAATACTCTATAGAAAAAATATTAAATTATTACAATTATTAATTTCAATCTGCAAAAATACTAGTTAACAGTACAATATAATTATACACTTATACATACTTAATTTATAATTTACCAAAAATATAGATTTTAAATTAAGATATAAAATTAATAAGTACCCAATAAAAAAAAAATAAAAATATTAAATTAGACTACTTAACAATTTATCTACTTCACTATGCTCAAAACATAAAAGCCATTCTTTTATACTTTTGACAAACTTATTTAAATTTCAAATAGCACGTATTGGTTGTGGAAGTTTGTTAAACAAGCGGACGGAAGTTATATCAAAAAAGTTTCGGTAATTTGTTGTTCTAAAAACTGGAACATTAACTAAGAATCTCTGATTAATGTGCAAACCAAAGCGATTTGAAGCCCTACTGTTTAAGTAACCTCCTCTTATATAAAAAAACCTTTAAGACCCTATAATAATAAAGTTGTCTAACAGGAAGAATTTTCAAACTTCTAAATAAATCCATACTATGAAATAAACGATGTCTATTGCAAATTTTTGTAATTACACATTTTTGTAAGATTAGAAGGGGATAAATTTTATTCTTACAAGTACCACCCCAACAACTTATGCCATATTGTAACTTAGAATGAAAAATGCCATAATAAAACATCAAGAGGGTTTTCTGCGAACAAATTTTGTTTAAGCGATAAAAATAACGCAATGTAGAGCGCAAATAAGACTTAATGGCATTTGTGTGCGCTGACTAATTCAACATACTATCAATAAACACACCTAAGTATTTGAATTGATTGACTTCTTCTACTATAAAGCAAGAGGAGTTACAGCAGCCAGAATGTACAATGTTAACATTATGGTTATTATCACTATCCATAGAAACACTTTTGCAACCAGAAGAATGAAAAACAAGATTAATATCAGAAAGTTCCTTTTGCATAAGATTAAAAAACATTAGTTTTGTTTTATCACTAACAATTAGCTTATGTCGGAAGAACCAATATCTTAATAAGCTAAGATCCTTATTGATTGCACATGTTAGATTGAGCGGACTGTTGCACGAATAGGAAATTGCAAGATCATCAGCAAAAGCTGTTAAATTACCTTGAAATTCCAAATCAAAAAGTGAATTTATATATATAAGAAATAATATTGGTCCCAAAACAGATCCTTGGGGAACTCCCAAACTAACATATTGAACACTACTGATTTTGTTACCAATTTTGATTCTTTGAGTCCTGCACTTTAAGTAAGATTTAAACCAATCCAATATAAAACCACGAAAACCTAGCGCAAATAATTTATTCAAAAGAATTTTATGATTCACCATGTCAAAAGCTTTAGTAACATCAACAAATAGACCTGCACAATTTAGTTTTTTGTCCAGACCCGAATTTATTTGCGAACAAATTTTAGGTATGTATGTTATATTAGTTTTATAAGGAAATACTTTTACATTGGTAGTAAGGCTAATTCACTAATTTACCTAAACTACCGCATCAGAAAATTAAAAACTTATACAAGTTTCTTTATAATATTTTAACTTTTTTATATAAGAGATAATTTGAAACGACGCATTTTTTATAATGATTATAAAGTTTTAAATGCACTATCATAATTATAAAACCTAAAATCAAATAATTGCAAACTTAAATTAAAATCTAATAAAGTTTTTATTAACATTGTTTATCCACTGCATTATCATTTTTTACTCTTAATTCTAATATGAAAAGTTGACTAAAATGTAAAAAAATTTACATTTTAGTCAACTTTTCATATAGAAAACTCAAAATGAAAATATGCAAAAATCGTAATTTTTCTAAAAAAACAACAAAAAAAAATTATACTTAAGAAATGTCATTTCGCTAAAAATACATACGCAATTTTACAAATAAATTCACAAACAAAGCAGGGTCCAGGCTTGATTTTTACCGACAATATAAATAGGTAAGTTATGTGATGGCAACAAATTTTGCATATCGAGTTTTCGGTGGAATGCACTTCTCCATAGTAGGGAAGTGTAAGTAAACCACTTTTAGCAAACTGTCGGTCTGTGTGCGCACGCGTGTATCTCAAGTTTGGCTGAACCGATTTTGATGAAATTATATATGTAAATTTATTTCGACCATGGCACGGATTAATAAACTTTTGGGGTATATCAGGCCTCGGGAACTGCTCTTTTTAGCGGGCCTGTTTTACATTTTTGACCATTTTGAAGAAAATATTCAACCGATTTACTTGAAATTTCATATATAAGCTTCGCTCGACCATCCACGAAAAATCCTAACTTTTGAAGAAATCAGGCGTCAGCAACTGGACGTTTACTACGGGCCAAATATACATTTTTGCGTTTATAAAGAGAAATATTAAACAGATTTCATTGAAATTTGATATTTAAATTCGAGGTGGTAAAATAATGAATCCATAAAGTTTTTGGAATGATCAGAGCTCGAAAACTGATCTGCGGGCCGATTATTTTTCACCATACCTACGGAACGAATTGATGGAATTTCTTGAAATTTGATATCTGAGTTCTGGTTTTTACCAAAAATAACTGGCGAAAAAATAATTTCAGGGAATTCGAGTAGCAGAAAGCGAAACTCTACTAAGAGCCAAATTTACATTTTTCTAGGTATATTAACTTTAAGCTTACTAATTTCCTAAAAATTGGGAAGAAGTATTTAGCAGACATTTTTATAATATTCTTTAACATTTTTACTTAACTATACAATACACGTTGCGGTCGGTTATGTGCTGATCACATCAGATTTTTTGTAATATCAAGGTTGTAATGTAAGTAGAAATTTTTAAATTAAAATAAATTGAAATAAAAATTCGATTTTGACAAACTCGTAAAACTTTCATTTGATGATTCCGAACAAACTCCTTAACATAGTTTTATTTTTCATTGTCTTTGAAAGCAGTGTAAATTTTGATAAATCGGCGACATAACGAGTAAATTATGTGTGTTCATTAAAATTTTTCCTGTTAATAACATGTAATGAAACTGTAATTAAAATAAAGTTGCTCATTCTAATTAGTTTTAAGAATCAAATACTATATTGATTTTTCAAAAAAAATATAAAAAATAATGAGAAGTGAACAAATCGCATAACTTTCTTTTGATGGAAATTATTGAGTTTATTGTAAAGTAATTAATAAAACTAAAAGCTTGTTTTTCCTCAATTTATTTTCTGTTGAAATTATTTTTCACATAGTTTGAAAAAATCGATTGAATATTTCTTTATTTTTGTTTTCCTATATTATAAGAGAAATGGCAAATTAAAGGGATTTAATTGCTCCTTTTAACGTTCTTTTAACTACAATCTTAAAAATATATTTTTGCATAATTAAAGTTTAAAATTTTATTTTCGCGCATTTATTGGTTAAATTATATTAGTTACATTATGTATATGTTTGTACATAAATTTAACCAATAACAAGAAACTATTATTTCTATTCTATGATTTTTTTCAAACTTGAAATATTTTTGTTGCATATATGTATAAACAAAGCCTTAATAATGTTTTAGAAATTTAGACATGCTATGAATTTCGAACGTATTTTTTTATACCCTTCACGAAAGTGAATGATATTCACTTTGGTATGGAGTTTGTAACCACTTTAAGGTGTCGTCTTTGGTATGGACATATATATATATTTTTGCTCAGCGTAAAATTGTGCGTTGATTTAGCCATGTCCTTCCGTCCGATCGTACGATAACTCAAAAACGAATAAAGCAATCGGCACCAAACTTTCACAAGTTGTTTCTTTTGTGCAAACGAAAATTTTGTGCTGCTATTGTAATTTGTCCAAATCGGACAACGGGTTCGGATAACTGCCATACAATTCAAATTGGTTTTTTTAAATATTTCAAAAACTAATAAAGATATTAATATCAAATTTTGCAAAGATGTGTCCTATGTTCTCCATATATTCTGAAAATTTTAATGGAACGCTTGCACTGATTCGGGTAGCTGCTATACAACTTCGAAAGTAAATTTTATATATTAGGGAAAATAATAAAGATAGATTCATGAAACTTGGCAGTCGTGTGTCCAATTATAGGTGACATATACTCCTGAAGTTTCGGTGAAATGACTTGACAGGTTCGGGTTGCTGCCATACATCTCCAAAAGCTTATTTTAAATGTTTGGATAAATAATAATGTTAGATTTAAAAACTTGGCAGTCGTGTGTCCAATTATAGGTCACATATATCCCTGAAGTTTTGGTGGAATGGCTTGACGGGTTGGGGTTTTGCCATGCAACTCCTAATTTTAAATATTCGGAAAAATAATAAAGCTAGATTCACGAAAATTGGCAGTCATGTGTCCAATTGTACATCACATATACTTCTGAAGTTTTGTTGGAACGACTTGACAGATTCCTCAAAGTGTTTTTTTTAATATTTCAAAAACCAATAAAGATATTAATATCAAAATTTGCAAAGATGTGTCCAATTACACTTTACATATGTTTTGAAAATTTTAATATGCTGCACTGGTTCGGGTAGCTGGCATACAACTCCAAAAGCTAATTTTAAATATTTGGAAAAACAATAAAGTTAGGTTCATGAAACTTGGCAGTTGTGTGTTTAATTATAGGTCAGACATATCCATGCAGTTTCTATAGAATGGTTTGTCAGGTTCGAATACTTGGTATATAACAATAAGAGCTTATTCTAGATATTAAAAAAACAAATTTTAAACTCAGATTGTACATTGCAAAGAAGGTCTCCTTCTCTCCGCCGGCGTGAGTACGTAGTTCCCCAGTACCTCCCTTCCCACGCGGGCGAGGGCCCCGCATTCCCTTAGAGGATGCGCCGAGAACTCCTGGGCCTGTTCGCAAAACTTGCATATATCTTAACTTCCCAGGCCAAGCCTTTTAAGGTAAGCCGTAAGGCGACAATTCTCCGTCAAGACCCCGTGGAGAATTCTCATCTGATTCCTGCCGAGTCCCATTATTTTCCTATAGCGCCCCTGGTCATAATTTCCCAGAAGCTCCTTAGCCTGTCGAAGCTCTGGAAACACCTCCAGCGCTCCGAACGCCGTTTCTCCATTTCCTTCTACGTCCACATGTCCAGACACCCAGCACAGTGTGACCCGGTTGCACTTACCCAATTTGTTGAGCTTCTCAAGACAGCCCCATACTACCTCAGAGGATACTGAAAAAGAGTTCAAAGCTCTGATAGCAGCCTGACTATCCGACATGATTAATATTTCATGACCGCGGTATCGTCTCTCAAGGTTGGACTGCACACACATTTCAATGGCGTGCACCTCCGTCTGAAAAACGCTGGTAAAACTCAGATTGCTAAGGTGATTATTTAAAATACCCAATATTTTCAATGTAAAGATTTTTAAGCAATGCTTAGAGTTTATTTAATTTGCCTTATGAAAATTTAAAATTTATTTTGATTTTTTTATCGTAATTTAATTCAGTACCCTTTTAAAAGGCAATGAGGAAGGTCTGTATCGCTTGATTTTCTATAAATTTTAGGAAATATATTTTTAAAAAAATTTGGAGGTCTTTTCATAAACACAGTATATCGCGATATATAGCAAGAACTGCGCTATATTTGTGTTCATAAACAAATGTTGTTAATCAAGTTTGTTCATAAATATTGCTAATCTATCACAAAAATATTTAAATTACCATGAGTAGTGCAGTTAAGTCAGTTGTACCTTTTTTTACTAATTTTTGCAGTTTGATTTTACATTGTTAATTATTGTACTTAAAAGTAACATTTTTTTGTTTCAGTTTTCTTTTTCTTAATTTTTATTTCTCCTAAAACAGAATTTTTCACTATATTTAATTTTTCACTATACTCTAAAAAGGAAAATAAAGTTGCTCTCTCTATCTGGTATCCTTATGCTTACCAGGGCAGTGCCTGAACATATAAAAATTATAAATGTTTTAAAAAACTTTTTTCTTGATGCACACGTATTCGTATGTACATATGCATACGAACATAATTTTTTTAGTAAATTAAAAATTTTAACTTGTACATAAAATATTTGGAGATATTGCAATTATTTAAAAATTATTATTTCTTTTCAGGAGAAGAACAATTTTAAACTTATAAAGGGTGAAACTTTATTAACCGCTTAGTATGGGTTCGTTGTTTAGAAGTGAAGAAATGACCTTATGTCAACTCTTCTTGCAAAGCGAAGCAGCCTATGCTTGTGTTTCAGAATTAGGAGAATTGGGTCTTGTTCAGTTTCGCGATGTAATGATTTATATTTTATATTTTAAAGATATTACAAATTTAAAAATATGTATGTTTTCAGCTAAATCCTGATGTTAATGCATTTCAACGGAAATTTGTTAACGAAGTTCGTCGTTGTGATGAAATGGAAAGAAAGTTACGTTATCTTGAAAAAGAAATAAAAAAAGATGGTATTCCAATGCTTGATACTGGTGAAAGCCCGGAGGCACCACAACCACGTGAAATGATAGATTTAGAAGTAATAAACTTAATTTATTTTGAATTTCATAACATACATTTTTTTTATGTTTTAGGCAACTTTTGAAAAGTTAGAAAATGAACTACGTGAAGTCAATCAAAACGCCGAAGCTTTAAAACGAAATTTTTTAGAATTAACTGAGTTAAAGCATATTTTACGTAAGACGCAAGTGTTTTTTGATGAGGTATGATTCTTTTTTTACTACATATATTTCAATCTTATATATACAATTTTGTCGATAAGTATTTAAAATTAATTTAAAATTTTACTTTTCTTTTATTAATTGCCTTTAATTGTTTGATGAAGACTAAAAAACTTACTTATAAAAAACTACTTTATAAAAAAGGTTTTAACGCGATGCATTCATTATTTTATTTACAAACTAAATAGGATTTAAAAATATCTTATAGAAACGATATAGGAATCGAGTTTTGAGAAGTATTAAATATAGAATTGCATGACAAATATGTAGTTTATTGTTATAATAATTCAAAAAATGGAAAAAAAGGGCAAAGGGAAGTTAAATAACATAAGTTATTAGCAAACTTGTATCCTTTTAATTTGGTAATTTGATTTCGTATATGTAATTAAAATTTTCTTGTATCTATTGAATATAATAAAATGGAAATGCTAATACATTTGGTTTAAAATTATTTTATGATGGAAACATTTTTATACAAATACATATATAGAATTTCTAAGAAAATTAGCAGTTCTTCAAATATATTTTAAGGAGAAAGGTAAAGAAAAAACAACACTATTGTTAAATACTCGTAAATTCAATTACCTAACTTATAAAAAATTTTTTAAAAACTTTATATAGTCTTCACGCCTTTCAAGAATATAAGAATTCCAGTTCTTAGCTTTATTCCAATTTGTTATTTATTTGTTTTACTGAAATTAAGATGTAAAGTAAGTGCAAAATTATAGTTCTTGTAGCAGTGTTATGGTATTATCGGAAAGTAATCAAAAACGTGCATCAACGCAGCATCGATACAAGCAAAAGTCGCTAATGCTATCGCGATGTGATGCGTTTACCTTGCTGTTGCAATATTATTTTGACATTTTTGGACACTTTCAATGTTTTTTGGAGCCTATTTTGAAAAGGTTTTCTGTAAAAGTATTAAAATTATTAACAACTGAAAATCTATTTAAAAAAAATTTTAAATTTCAATTAAGTTTTGGAGATTTTAATATAATAGAACATTTAAAAATATTAATACCGTGCATAATTAACTTTATTTATTATTGAGTTAAAATATTAAATTATTTACTTCTCAGCTTCCATTTAAAAAACTTTGCATCAATACAAAATAACAAATTGATGCACAACTGATTAAATATGGTGCGCATACGATGCGTATTTCTGATATTTTTGGACACCAAACCTTAAAGCATTACCGTATTGATGCATTTTCGTACATGATTTTTACATGATTACACATCGATGCTGCATCGATTACTTCCCGATTGTACCCCTACTTTCGTTTATGACATTGACATTTAATGTCATATATCTTGATTCATGCAATATATTTTAATAAATCTGATCTCCTTATAAAAGTAATATCTCCACATACACGGACATTTTTTTAATTCTCAAAATGTATACACGTATTAAAACTCGATCACATAATCGCATACTTTCTCTTGGCGATATCTGTTTCACAACATTCATAATATTCAATATTATTGAATTAAGGGCGATTCATTTTAGCTTATAAATAATTTAAATGTTTGGTGCACTTCGTGTACTTACCTGCAAATAATAAAGTAAATTAATAATTCTTTGGTAATAAAATTAAGTACAAAATTTGGATAATAAATAAAAAATTGCTAATAAGTATAAATTTTCTTATTATTTTACTGTTGGAATATTTTAAAACTGAGCTATCAACGTAAATTAACGTTTTTTTTTCTTGATACGAGTAATGTTTATTTAAAGAGCGTTTTTTTTACTACCTACGATAGGATTAGGTGTATTCAAAACTTTGCTAGGTCTTATGTTAAAATCATTACATTTACGGGTTATACATACATACATTGATTTTCGAAATTACATGAATTTGTGTATATTCTTTCAATAGTACCTTATAAATAGCATTTTTTTATTCAATCGTTTTATATTTTAACGAAATCTAAACTGCCTATTTGATAAATATTTTTTTTTGATTAATCGGCACCTTAATATTTTATTTTATTAATTTAATCTTTTTTATTAATTTTAAAATTTCACATTAATATATTAATATAAAAATTATCAAATCCATCTGATTCATAAAACACATTTACTTTAATACTCTGCAATATGAATATTATTTATGTTGTAGGAAATCGCAATATCACTTTGAAATGGTGGAAAGCATACATACATAAAAACATTTTAATCAAATTCAATCATTTTGCAATAACTCTACTCATATATTTAAGAAAAAATGTTTAATGAAAGTTTGCTTTTAAACTAACATTTTTTTAGTAGTTATATCATGTCTTGACAACACAAATGAAATTAACATTCTCTATATTTGTAATTTAATAATAAATAATAATGTGTACTTGGAAAAGATAATTTTTTGATGTAACTGTTTATTTTGTAAAGTGGAAAAACTAAATGCTTATATTTAAAAATAAAAAATAAGAATTTTTTAATTATGTAAAACTTAAAAGTCACAAAATTAAGCGTAATTTTCACTTTTTCTGATATAATTATACTTACATATTATTAAAAAAACTTAATTTGCATAAATAAAAAGTGTGGTCGTTATTTTCCATCAATCACGATTTTTCTTATATATTTTAGTTTAGATTTAGAGAAAAAATTTCCTTTTTTAATATGAAGTGTCATAAATTTTCTTATATTTTTAATATTTTGTTTTGTTTTTTAGTTTAAATCTTGCATTTCGAACAAAATATCATGAAAATAAAGGACCTTTTTAATTTTCTATGTTTTTGTACTATCTTTTTATTTTTTTCCTTAGGTGTAGATGCAAAATTTTTTAATTTTACGTGTATATTTAATTTTTTGTGTAAAATATAACCGCTTAAAAAAGTTTACGATTTTATATAAAACTAAATATAGTAAAGCATACCAGTATTTTTAAGTAATACAAAACAGCATATTATGAGGAACACAAAGATGTTCATGTTGAAACTTGCGAAAATACATATATATTTTGTTTTTTCTTATGATAAATTATAATGTTTTAAAACAAATTTTACTTGATTAAAACGTGATCATATGTATATTCTGCATTGTTTTAGGATTTTGTGTAACCAAAAACAATATAGTTGTCAATTATTTAATTCATCAAATAACATATCGTTTGTAAATGAAATTATATATGTGCATTTTTAAAACTAAAATGTTAATCTTAACATAGGCATAATGATTGATTTCGAAGCGTTCTATAACTATTTGATCAAAGCTATTTGACTATTTGATTGAAACTATTTTAAGATCAAATTATTTTTGAAAAAGAAATTTAATCACTTGTTTACGATTATATAATGTCACATTTTTTATCTTAATTTTATATATCTTAAAATAAAATCAAATAAAAGTAACAACTATTTGTTGATCAAACGTATAACACATTTTTTCGTTTTTAATTTTATTAAGAAAGACTTGAATAGCTTTGAAAATTACTTAACATTTATTTAATGTGAATGTACAATTTTTACAAAAATTTTATTTATAATAATATATATATAAAGTTATATGTTATTTATGAAAGTTTTTAAATTGAGACATGTTGCATTTTCTTTCTAAAGTTTTTAAGTTGAGACATGTTGCATGTTTTTTAGTTTGAAAAGTTACTTTTTTTTTTCTTTTTTTTTTACTTTTATACAAATAACATATTTATTTGGCTAATATTTCATAAATTACTGCATATTTTAACTAATTCTCGTATAAAGTTCTTTATTTTTGCAATATTGTTGTTGTTAAAGGTGCTAGGATGTGCATTAAAAATGAATTTTGGAATTTAAAATATGTTTGAACAATATTATTTTCTTTTTGTATGCATGTTTCAATTATTTTAAAATAATTTTATATTTATTTTGCTTTTTATAAAAGTAATTAATTTAATTGCAAGTTATACCCTTAAATACAAAAATATGGCAAATTTGTTTCTAAGATTTTAATAAAATATATGAAGTATTGTTAAATCATGCTAAAGCATGTACATATTTCCGATAATGGTAACATGAAAAATTTCGAAGATTTAAAAAAATGATACTTAAATTAACAGAAAGAAATATTTTTTTTTATTTAAGGGTTGAATTAAATCTCATGTTTTATTAACAAAAAGTAGAATCCTGTAACATATTTGTTTTTATTTTTATTTGTTAGTTGAATTCTGTGCACTTTTTATTATTTCTTTCGTATTCAGATTATATTTTGTTTTTCTTTTTTAATTAATTAAATATAATTTTTTTTTTTGTTTTTCGTACGTACATTACTTTTTCTTAAAATCAACATAAATATCAATTACACATGAATGAAATATCAAACATCCTGAAAAACTTACAATATTATATATAAAAACAATCGCTCCTAAAAAAACAATTTTAATTTTGTTAAATTTTGGTTTTCGAAAACTTTTGTGTTGCATACGTTGGTTCGGTTTTTTTCGTTCCTTTTTTTGTTTTTTTCGTTACGTCGTTTTATTTCGATTGTGTTGCCAGACAGCCCCACTTACCTTTAATACACGCTATCAACAGATGGCGGAAAATCAGAATGATGACGAGCAGGTCCAACTTTTAGGCGAAGAGGGAGTACGTGCTCAACAAGGACAAAATCTTAAACTTGGGTAAATATTTACTTACAATTTCATAAAAAAAATATTTTTGAATTTAAAAAAGACATATCTACAACGCAAAAATATAGGAAATTATTCTGATCGCTTTTGTTTTGTACAAAATGTAGTTATATACATCTATGTATTTTGAAGTCTGTTTGTCCTATGTTTTAATATTTGTGTTTTATTGACATTTTTTAGTGAAAGTTTTTCTTTGTGTTTTTTTCTTTTATTTTGCGCTTTTTTATTTTGATTAATTTTCATTCTACTTGCTTTAATAGTGACAACTGTTACTAAATGTCTGACCACATACTGTTGTAGGGATACATAAAAATACTCTTATTTTATTTAAAGGGTAACAATTCATAATTTTGTGTTTTAAAGAGAATCTATCAAAAAAAAATTATTTTTTGTCAAACCTATGGCGTGTTAAATGACACCTTTCCCTTTTTAATTTAAATATAGAGCGTTTTTATTTTTTCTAGGGTTTATATAATGAAAACTATCGAAGAAAAAAATAAACGTAAATTGATACTCTAGAACGTAATACTCGGGAGAGGCAAGAGTTACTCGAACGCATAGTTCCGAAGCTATAAACATTTATTTATGTGGAGGAAAAATCTGGTATCTTTTATTTTGAACAGGCTGCAGCTCGATTAAGAGTAGATATGCACCCCTCCCCCTACCTATACAATTTTTTGTTGGAAATTAAAGAAATTAAAAAATCATTTCTGAAATTACTAACTACCTTATGCAAAAAAACGGGTAATTTATGTACATGAACACATATGTATGTTTAAAGTCCGATAGAAATGACACATTATATTTTTTATTATGTTGAAAATTATTTTATTGGTTTGAAAAAAGATTTACCTTTAGAATATAGGAACACATATATTATGTATTTTTTAACAAAATTTTGTAAAAACTAAATCATGTTAGCTTTTTTTACAACTCATTGTGTCTGAAAAAAATAAAGTACATCCCACATTTATTTAGTGATAAAATAAAAAAAATTGATGTAAATATACATAGCTGTCTATGTACTTTTTTTCATAAAGTGATGCTTTTGCTTACCTTTTTTAAAATTTCGTAAAATCGGCCAGAATCTGCTTTGTCTGCAACATAAATACGTACTTTGATTGATTATAATATTAAAAAAGCATACAAAAGGAATTTATTATATTAATTACATGATTTTTTTAAAAATGCACATATTTTTTGTGTCATGTATTTATGGTTATTTGATGCATGCAGTTTGATTTTTTGGGTCTATGGAATTGACTTTATAAGAAAATTATTAAAAGTTAAATTTATTAAATATTTGTGTATGTATAATTATATAATTAATTTGTTTTAATGAACTTTTGTTTTTATGTTTGTTAATTACTTCTATTAAAGTATTATATTTGATTAAAATAATTGGAAAATATTTAATTTTTTTATCAGTTTGAATTAAAATATGAATGCTGTGCGAATACGAGTGGGAGTCTCTGTATGTAATAACTATTAAATAAAATAATACTAAAAATTTATTATTGTTGTGTTAGGTTGCTTTTTATATATATATGTACATATTAGTTTAATTGAAGTAATAAGGTTATAATGTCAAAACTATACCACTTCTTCATTCATAATTTACTATTTTCAGAAAAATTCAGATAAATAATTATTAAACTTGTTAATCGCCTATTGATAATACATATATTATATTTGAAATTTGTGTGTTCTAATGACCTACGCAAATTTTAAATAAAAATTGCGCAAGGTAAACACGAAATTTTATCATTTAAAGTCTTGTAATAATTGAGTTGATCAGAAAAAATATATATTTTCTTGCGAAGGTTTATTTACAATCACGTTCGTTCATACTTGATTAATACAGCAAACAGAATATATATTTTTTATCACAAATTTAATCATTTATTGAAAACATGCAAGACTCAAACGTCTTGTAAAATAAAACACATGCTACATATGTATGTTTTAATATGAAGCTCCTATTTATATATTCGTTTGTTGTTTTGGTTTCAAATTCTTCAAAATACAGTGAAAAAATCAAATTCATTGCAATTCAATTTTATTAATTTATTTTTAAATTGATATTCGCTTGTAAAACGAAATTTCACCTTAGAAACACGATTTTGAGAACAAGTAATAATTGTTTATTTCTAATCCTTATTAATCATACTCTAATCAAAACATTACCTTAATTATATTAATATTACTATCAATAAATACTAACTTTATATTTATCTTTTCCATGGTTTTCGATTTGTTTTATTTTTTGTTAATTTTTCAAATAAATCATTCTCATTTAAACATTGCGGAATAGTTTTATTTTTAAAAAAAAAAAAATAAATAAATTAGAGCCTTCTTTTCAAAATCATCATTAGCTTAGTTGTTTATTTTTTTTGTAATACTTCATTGTTGAAAATATGTGTACTATTATAATATAGTTTAAAGAATATTTTAAATTTTATAAGCTAAACGTCTATACGAGTACATATGTATATGTATTTGTATACAGAACAACATTGCAAAAGAAATTTGCACAGGTTTTTATTTATAATTTTCATGAGGCTTAAATATTTTAAAATATTTTGTCTTGTAAATACTTTAAAAGAGCCATTAAATTGGTTATTTTTTTCGACATAATCAAATATTTTTTTTAAATCATATGAAAGGTAAAAATTCAAGAACTTGTATATTTTTAAATTTTTTTTCATCGTTTTCATTTCATGTATAAATTTAAGAAATAGGAAGTTTTCATAAAAATATTCTCCCCCATATTCAATATTTTGAATATAAATATATTTCGTGTGTTTTAGTTCCAAAAACACAGACAATGCCGTAACATATGCTCATATATATATTTTTTAAAAAAATATTCAATTAAGAGTAAATAAAAATAAAACACTTCGTAACTTTTATGATATCGAAAATACAAGAAAAAAATCTATTTTACAACTTTTATACAATTGTAGCAAGAGGTTGGTCTTAATACCACAACCGAATCAATGACAAGAGCTTTAATAACTGATGAAGCACGAACAGGACATTCTATGGGTCCCGTTCAATTGGGGTAGGTATTTTATATTGAAAACGAATTTTATTTTGTAGTGATAAAAAATTTAAAATTTAGTCTAAAAAACAACTAACAATTTCTATGGAAAACATAAATGAGGAAAATAAATACGTGTAAATTTTTTACTTAAATGAAAATTAATGGAAATATAAAATTGGAATATCAATATTTGTTTAAAAATTTGAAATCTTAGATGTAGAACGGAGCTCATAAATTTAATGTAATTTAGTGAACCATTATAATGTAACCCTTTATATAATGAAATTAAAAATGAAACACACTTTTAATTTTGATTATTCTCATATTTTTTTCTGGTAAAGAAGTAAAGTAAATTTTTCGAATTTGAAATTTTGTTTTTCGATTGTTACTGAAAATCTTTCATTAAATAATTTTAATATTGATTTTCTTAATTCAGTAATGTAAAATTTAAATTAAAATGTATTAAACTTATTTCGTCACGGTATCTACTTCAAATTTTAGACAACTTTTTTTTTTATTTTAAAATACTAAAAATACAAAAATATTTTTAATATTACCCAAAAGCCGTAAATGTAAAAATGAAAATTACAAAAAGATTAACTTATGTTTTTTTATAATTAACATATACAACAACTTAATTGTGGGTTCCAAATATAATTAAGCATATTTTAATAATTAAATTTAATTAGAGAAATAATTAAGTTTTCTAATAATAAAAATTTTCATAACATTTAGTTTTCTGGAAAAATCACGTGAACAACTTACAGAAGATTATCTGCCATGGTTGGTAAAGAACGATACTGTATGAATATGTTTGTGTATACATTTATGTGTATTTCTTCATTTTCATAAACTTTAAATCAGAAAAAATATTCATCTAATTTTATTGTTTTTAATGCGAGTTTAATAAATACATGTTTGTTATTTTATAACATAATATTTCACATATTTTATTAAATATTATATTAACCATATTTAATTTTGTTATTTTATTAGTTTTATGTTTAAAAATTTTATAAATTTCTGAGTCCGATTACTTATTTTGAATTATTAATGAAAAATTTTATTATTGCTTGTATAAATGTTTTAATTCTATATTTTTTATTTGTTTTATGTTTTGTTCATGGGAATAATTTGATAAAGTAATTAGTACATTCCTTTATGTATACATCATGTTTAACTATGTTAGTGAATTTGATTACCTATTGTTATGCATCAAATGTTCATCTAATTTGTTTTTGCTTGTAAAAATTTATAAAAGAATTTTGTATTTATTTTGTTTAAAAAATATGTGCATTTTACAATTATTTATTACAACTCAACAACATTTGAAAAGCAATTATTAAATTTTTTTAAAGTGTTTGGATTTTGCTTTAAACGAAAAAGTAAAAACAAACTTGTATGTCACTAGATTTTTAAAACAATACCTTACTCCACCCTTAACTTCACTCTTGTGAAAAGCAATTTTGATTTGAAAACTTGTTTTTTAAAAGATTTGAATAAAGACAAAAAAGTACATTGATAAAAAAAGGAGGGAGTAAAGGTCTTAGTATGAGAATAAAACATTGCCTTTTGTAAGCTACTAACAGAATAATTCTCTACAATAATTTTGTTTATAAATTTTGTGAATAGCCATATTTATTTATATCATAGTATAAAAATTTAAAATTTCATCCGTTTCTAATGTAACAGCTTTGTTGCTGGTGTAATTTTACGTGAAAGATTGCCAGCTTTTGAAAGGATGTTATGGCGGGCCTGTCGGGGAAATGTTTTTCTTCGGCAAGCTATGATTGAGGCGCCGCTTGAGGATCCATCAAATGTACGTTTTTAAACATATATATGTATGTAAATTGAACAATATTGAAATATATTTCAATATATTTTTTAGGGTGACCAAGTTTACAAATCAGTATTCATTATATTTTTTCAAGGAGATCAATTGAAAACACGCGTAAAAAAAATTTGTGAAGGTTTTCGGGCGACATTGTATCCATGTCCTGAAGCGCCAGCCGATCGTCGAGAAATGGCTATGGGGGTTATGACGCGAATCGAGGATTTGAATACAGTTTTAGGGCAAACGCAAGATCATAGGCATCGCGTATTAGTTGCAGCCGCTAAAAATCTCAAAAATTGGTTTATCAAAGTACGCAAGATCAAAGCCATTTATCACACTTTGAATTTATTCAATTTAGATGTGACACAAAAATGTTTAATTGCTGAATGTTGGGTTCCAGTCCTAGATATTGAAACAATTCAACTATCTTTAAGACGTGGAACTGAACGTTCTGGTTCTTCTGTGCCGCCGATTTTAAATAGAATGCAAACTTTTGAAAACCCACCGACATACAACCGGACCAATAAGTTTACAAAAGCATTTCAAGCTTTGATTGATGCATATGGTGTTGCAACTTATCGTGAAATGAATCCAGCTCCATACACTATAATCACGTTCCCATTCTTATTTGCTGTTATGTTTGGTGATTTTGGACATGGTATGATCATGGCATTATTTGGGTTGTGGATGATTCGAAAAGAAAAAGGACTTGCAGCACAAAAAACTGATAATGAAATTTGGAATATATTTTTTGGAGGACGTTATATAATATTTCTTATGGGGGTATTTTCGATGTATACCGGTTTGATATACAATGATATGTTCTCAAAGTCTTTGAATATCTTTGGTACAAATTGGAAAATAAATTATAATGTTTCAACTGTTATGACAAACAAGGATTTGCAACTAAATCCTGACGGAAAAGATTATTTACAATACCCGTATCCTTTTGGAATAGATCCGATCTGGCAAGTCGCTACCGGAAATAAAATTATTTTTATGAATGCTTACAAAATGAAAATTTCTATTATACTAGGAGTCATTCACATGATTTTTGGTGTTGCAATGAGCTACCAAAACCACAAATATTTTAAAAATCATGTTGCTGTCGTTTACGAATTTATTCCTCAAGTGATATTTTTGGTATTGTTATTTTTCTATATGGTTCTATTGATGTTTATTAAATGGAATAGATATGCTGCAAATAATCCTGGTATGAGCCAAGAAATATAACTATGAATTGTATGCATACTCAGTTAATGTAACTCTTGAAACTAATTTTAGCGCCATATTCGGCTTATTGTGCTCCATCGATTTTGATTACATTTATAAATATGGTACTTTTCAAGGGCCAACCAGAACCTCCACAAAATACAGGTTGCTATCAATACATTTATTCTGGTCAAGGTTTCTTTGAACCTTTATTTGTTTTAATTGCTCTTGTTTGTGTTCCATGGATGTTACTTGGAAAGCCTTTGCATATCAAAAAACAAAGAAAAATAGCAAATGTAAGATTTATTTTTTTTTATATTATGTTATTCTTTCAATGAATAAAAAATTCTTACAGATTCAATCTATTCAAGTTGTTGGAAATGGTGATCCAGAGACTGGTTTGAACCCTGATTCCATTGTATCGACGGCAGCTGAAGCAGGAGGCCATGGTGCAGGAAGCCATGATAACGAAGAAATGTCTGAAATATTTATTCATCAAGGAATACACACGATTGAATACGTTTTGGGTTCTATTTCTCACACCGCATCTTATTTGCGTCTATGGGCTCTTTCTCTTGCTCATGCTCGTAAATAATTGCCTTTCCAGTTAAAGAATTTAATTATGGTTTTAACGTTAATATTTAAAATATATTTCAGAATTAGCTGATGTGTTGTGGAGCATGGTACTTTCCATCGGACTTAAACAAGAAGGATGGCTAGGTGGAGTAATGCTTTGGGTAGTTTTTTCAATATGGGCTGTACTTACTGTTAGTATTCTTGTCCTTATGGAAGGTCTTTCTGCCTTCTTGCACACTTTACGACTGCATTGGTAAAGATTCTTTAAAATTATAATCACATTTTTCCTCAAAAACTTTATAAATTGTAGGGTTGAATTCCAAAGTAAATTTTACGCTGGGCAAGGGTATGCTTTCCAACCTTTTTCGTTCGATGTTATGTTAGATACAGGAAGTTCGGAGGTAGCTTCTTCAGAATAAATGAATTACTTCGTCTTGCAAAATACTTTCAATTATTTATGTATAAATGTTTAAAAATGACAAAACTTTGAGAATATGAATTTTGATTTGAGATTAGTAGAATTTTTAAATTTATAAATAAAATTATTAGGTCACATAAAATTTTCTCGTTTTGATTAATCTTAATCTAAGCGAAGAAAATAATGTACTTTGTTAAGAAAATATAATGTAAAAATTCTTCTTTTTGTTACTTACCTCATTCATTTAAAATGTAAACACGTATATAAAATATGTATATTAAAAAATACCGTTGCAAAGCTTAAAAAAAGGAAACAAAGTTTTTGTTAATCACTATAAATAACTCTTATACGAAGTCTTGTAGTTTAAATCACAATTAGATTTAAATCTTGTCTTAGATTAGATGTTTGTGCAATTAATTTTAAATATTATCCACAAATGTAACGTAAAGTAAATAAAGGCTATTTAATTGTTCTGACAAAAATTTTATTGCTTTGGAATTATTTAAATTTGCTTTTTTTTACCGCCCGCATTGCGTATACAATAAGGTAGGTTATGCGATGGCAACAAATTTTGCATATCGAGTTTTCGGTGGGAATGCGCTTCTCCATGGTAGGAAAGTGTAAATAAACTATTTTTAGCAACCTGTCAAAAAAAAACGAGCCTGGAATTCATATATGAAATATAAAGATTGATATAGATATAACGAATTTGCTTATCTATTTAATCTTTATAAGGCTGCCCTTCAGTCCAAATGCGACAATTACCTTGCCATTATTCAAATCAAATTTGTCAAATCATGATCAGTGTTCGGGCCTTTTGGTGTCGAATCAACATGGTTTTGTAAAAAAACGATCAACCGTAAGTAATTTAGTTGATGTGACTGCTTTCTATTTGAATGCTATGGAGTCTGGTTTCCAAACTGATGTTATTTACACGGACTTGTCGAAAGCTTTCGATCTATTACCGCATAGTGTGATCTTATTTAAGTGACTTGGTTTTCCTCCAAATTTGTTAAACTGGTTTGAATCACATTTGGTGGGTCGCAGTTATTATGTTTCTTTTAGATCGTGCATTTCAAGTCCGTATGTTGCCAATTCAGGGGTTCCGCAAGGTAGTCATTTAGGCCCTTTGTTATTTATAATGGCAATTAATGATGGTACCTCTGTCATTAGGTACAGTGAAATTTTAATTTATGCTGATGATATAAAAATTTTTAAAGTCACTACCTGCTTGGAAGATAATAAATTGCAAGAAGAGGTTTCTTTTCGACCTGATGCAACCACAAGAATCTGTTCCTTAATGTTGGCAAATGTGCGGTTGTTACTTATACGCGCAAATTGGTTCCTTTTATTGTTGAAGAATTTGTTCCTTAATGTTGGGAAATGTGCGATTGTTACTTATACGCGCTTATAGAATGATGAGCTTATAGAAAGAGCTGATTTATTCTAAGATTTGGGTGTTGTCTTTTATGGAAAATTGACTTTTAGAACTCAAATGCAATAATCAATATAGCCAACTTAATGTTTGTAAAAAGGTGGGGTAGAATGATTCTTGTATTCTGAAATCTTTGTATATATCATTGGTTGGGTCTAATCTTGAATATGCAAGTCAAGTTTTGGCACATTATTCTTTCCATATAGGAAAACTTGAGGCGGTTCAAAGGAACTTTATTAAATTTGCATTGTGTGGTTTAAATTGGCAAGATCCATTAAATCTGCCGCCGTATGGAGACCGACTTAAACTTTTAAGCCTGAATACTTTTGAATCTAGATGAATTGTTGTCGATATTTTGTTCATTATCCAGGTTAAAAATAGGCAAATTAATGCTACAAGAATTAAAACATTTGTTGATTCTAGTTTAAATACCAGTACTCGCTTTAGGTCAGAAAATATATTACGGCTTTTCATCGAACTAATTATGGGAAATACGAACCAATAAATAGGATGTTTGTTAATGTTAATAAATATAAAAATTTTATTGATTTGTCGCAAAGTAGAGAACAGCTAAAAAAAGTTTTGTTCTCCAACTTACCATAAATTTGTTTTATCTGTCTGGTAGCTTTTACAGCTTGAATTTATCTTAAAACAAAGAAAGAAAAAAAAGAAGAAAACGAAAAAAAAACAAAAGGATAACCAATAAATGTTTAAGTCAAGGGTAATCAATAAAAGTAAGTCAATCAATTTGAGCCTGTCCTCATAAGGGAAAGAAAAATAGGATCGACTCAATCCTATTAATATGAATATCGTAAAAAGGGGACCAAACTTGTCAGACATATTCAAGATGGGGACGAACCAGAGACAAATATAGGGACTTCAAAATATAGGGGTCATAAACTCCCTTGACCAGCGTTTAATAAATCCCAACATAGAACTTGCCCTGCTAACCACATAGTTGTAGTGATTGGAGAATGATAGCTTATTATCAAAACCAGCCCCTAAGTACATAATTGAATCAACCCTACTAATAACTTCACCATTTAAAGTATAATTTGATATTATTGGCTGTCTCTACCTGGAATAACACATTAGCGCGCACTTGTTAACGTTGATTTTCAAGTTATCACTAGTGCACCACCTGCAAAAATGATCCAGATCACCCTGTAGAGAAACTGCGTCATTTGCAGAACGAATCCTCTTGAAAATTTTCATATCATCAGCATAAATTAACACTCCACTGCAATTCAAAACGGATGCTACGTCATTAACAGCGATGATGAAGAGCAATAGACCCAGGTGACTGCCCCGTTGAACTCTAGAGCTAGCCACAAGCGGGGACAACACCGATGAACGAAAGGGGACCCCGAATTTCCTTCCAGAAAGATTAGAGTCAACCCAATTTACAAAATTGTTGGCAAAACAATATAACCTCAATTTCAAAAGAATTACATACGTCGTGTGGCTTTGCTAAAATCAGTGTAAATCACATCTGTTTGACACCCATCTTCCATATTATTTAAAAAAACAGAAGCAGGTTGCACCAGATTAGTCACCGTTGATTTATTTTTCAGAAAACCGTGCTGGCAACTACTAATAAATGGAATGCAGTGGGAGTAAATGCCGTCATATATCATTAGTTCGAGAACTTTTGGAATGGCCGAAAGTTTAGCAATAAGACGATAGTTTACCACATCACTTTTATTGCCCTTCTTATGAATCGGTCTAACGAATTCTTCCTTCCAAACGGAGAGGAATATTCCTAAAAAGTAAGACTTATTGAAAACAAAAGACAACGGATCCGCTAAAGAAGAACAGCACTTACTCATTATTATTTTAGGAATACCTTCAGGCCCGGGAAAAGGCCTGGAACCTAAGTTGAGTAGGTATTTTCCAACTGTAGTCGAGTTTGTGACATAATTAGAATAAGCGGTTTTTGGTTATTAATGTATCGAAAATCATCCAAATTCACTTCAAATAGAGTAGAAGAGTACGATTCGGCGAAAAGGTCACGAAAAAATTCAGAAATCACCTTGAAGAATCGTTCAATTTCAAAAAAGTTGGGTAGCACTTCTTCTAGGATTATGTTTAATATCATCAGAAATTCTTAAAATATACATATCATAATGTGTTTAGCTGCTAACTTGAATATATCATACGCAAGTTGAAAGTTGCTGTAATCACCAGCACTCCTCGAAGAAAGATGTTTGCGCCAAAATTTGTTTTTTTTTAATTACGCAACCTTCAAAGTTCCATAGAAAACCATGGAGGATCAGAATGGGAATTCCTATTCCTTATAGTTCGAATAAATCAAACGCAGCAAATATGATTTCATAAAATTTACCCGTCATCGACTCGATATCAGTAATATTAAATACTGAAGAAAAATCGTAAGCAGAAAAGAAATAATTTAGCATTATGAAACAGAACGAGAGGTACGCAATTATACCAATCAGAAGTAAAAACCAAATCCAATTGCTTCGATTGGTGGTTCAAAACTAATGAAATTTGCTTTAAGTTATTCAAGTGAAAGGAATCCACAAATGATAACTCCAGCTCGCCACTACAATCTATTGGAACCAAAAGTGGTTCCTCATCATGTGTCGTCTACGTTATTTTGGGAAGATTACAGCCTCCAAAATAGAAAACCTCGTCGTGTGAACTAATAGAATTGTAAATGTTTTCTACTATGGAACAAAATTTAAAATATACGTCAGAACTAAAGTTTAGTGGTGTATAACAATTTACCACCAAACCGGAAATATTGAAAATACTAGCGGACAATGAGTTTTTAACTGCAACAAGTATCCCACCTCAAAATACTAGCGGACAATGAGTTTTTGACTGAAACAAGTATCCCACCTCCCTTAGGAGCATGTTTCTGAGAAAAATTCCCATAACGGTCCCTTCTGAATACGGAAAAAGCTGAACCAAAAAGTTCTAAGTTATCAACAGAAAGAGTCAACTATGTTTCCGTCAGAGCACTCCATTATGGAAGAATTCAGCAACACAGCCCCAGTTTTAGTCCTAATAAATTGAAATATTATCTTAAGATTTTACATGTTTATGAACATTTTAAGCAGGATGCATTTATTTCGATTATGGCACGGATTGATTAACTTTTGGGATATATCTGAGATTATTTTTGGGAAACTACACCTCTTAAGGGGCCCGTTTTACATTTTTGATCATTTTGAAGAAAGTATTCAACAGATTTATTTATTCTGATTTCGATTTTGTATGTTTGAATGGAGTATATGTCGTTCAATTTTCAAACGGATTCAATATGCAACTATTTTTATAGAAATAATGAAGTATTTGTAGAAGTGTATATAGATCATTTTTTGGAAATATCAGGGCTGGAAAACCAATCCCGGGGCCGATTTTGCATTATTTACCATATCTACGGAACGGATTGATGGAATTTCTTTAAATTTTATATTTGAGTTCTGGTTGTTACCGAAACTAACTGGTGGAACGAAGTTGTACTAAGAGCCAGATTGTACATTTTTCCAAGTATGTTAACTAAAAGCTTGCTGACTTCCGTAAAAATGAATGAAGTGTTTAAAATGCATTTTCATAATCTTCTGTAACACTTTCACTTAACTAGGCAATACATATTGCGGTATATGCAATAATTTTAACGAATTATGAAGCGTATTAATTAATATACATATGTAAATACTTGGATGGTCTTGGCTCTTATTTACTTCCAGGGCCGGATAGTGTCACCGAGATAATTTTAAAGAATTACTCAGGATCGGTGGCTGTACCCCTGGCTTTCAGTTTTAATAAATCATACTCGTCGAAAGTTCCATCTCTTTGAAAGGGAGCGTTTATAAGGCCTATACATAAAAGGGCCTTAAGTTTTCGAATTGATGTTATATGATTCCGTTTACGAACATAGCACGCAATTAACTGTAAAAAATCAACACGGTTTTCTGAATAAGAAATTAGTGGTTACCAATCAACCAGAATTTTTACTAATAATATGGATATTAGACTGGCGTTATTTATACTGATTTCAGTAAGGCTTTCAATATTCTTCCTCACGAAATAATTATCTTAAAGTTAAGACTACTTGGTTTTCCTGAAAATCATAATTATCCGTTCATCTGTTTCATCTTGATTTGTGGCATTTTCGGGGGTGCCACAGGACAGCAAATTTGGGCCATTGTAATTCATCATTTCTGTGAATTGTATGTTTCCGAGGTCGAGAGACAGTAGGATCCTAATTTATGCCGATAATGCTGATTTCCAAGGTCTTCAGAATGACTTAAAGTTAGTTGGTCAAGAGTTGATGAGTTTAATGACCCCTACACATTGAAATTTCTTTACTCTTATCTTGTTCCCTCACATCTTGAGTACGCATCGCAAGCTTGGTCTTCAATTTGCGACGTTCACAGGAACAGAATTGAGACTATTCTTTCTTGAGATTCGCTTTGCGTCGCATTCCCTGAGAAGATTCATTAATCTTGCTTCCTTATGAACATAGATTAAAGCTCATTGACATGCCCACTTTGGCTAAAAGACGAGAAATCGCTGAAAATTATATAAAATCTTTTTGTATAGATAAATACCAGAGTAGTATTTTGGAAACGAACAAGAGCTTAAAATTTCTGTGTGACGATTGTGTTTTATATATCCACAACGTAGATTCGGTTGTTCAAAAAATGAATTGCGCTATACGTAGAAGTGTGCTCAAGATTAAAAATTTTTACAAATAGATCAATATTTTGTTTCTTTGTTACCTACACAACTCTTATTACCATCTATTTCTAAAAAAATGGAATATTTTAAGAATTTGGATTTAAAAAAGAAGATAAAAATCCCAACTCTGCAAAACTACAAATTTAATATAGGGAAATGAGGAACGAAAATTAGTGTGAAAATTCAAGTAATGGAAGAAGAACACGATTAGTGTGGACATACGGAATAAGCTGCATTTTTACAAGTATTTACTATAGCTACTAAATAACTTCAAAAATAATTTACTCATGAATTGAAAATTTTAAAGGCTATGATAAGTTTATACATTTTTACGGGTACGCAGAGTTGACATTGCCAAATCTATATTATTTCGTTCCTTTTTCTAAATTTGGCTAAAATTTTTTAAAAGTGGCAGCTCTTCTGTATCAGAGTCAAATCCGCCACCTACCATTTCTAAACAGAACTAATTGACAATAGAAAATTTATGTGAAAATTAAAGGCCGAAGTGTGACTTGTGACACTACACCACACAGTGGATAAATGATTTAATTAGTAGTTTACGTAACTAGAAGTAGAATAAAAGACAAAAATTAATATATCGAATCAAAATGTCACAAATACCAAAATTTTCTGGATTAGCTCAAAAATTTTTTGCTAATTTGAAAAGTAAAGAATTTCGAGACTATCTAATGAGTACACATTTTTGGGGTCCCGTTGCTAATTGGGGCATACCACTAGCAGCAATTGCAGATATTTCTACGAAAGATCCCAAATTTATTAGTGGTAAAATGACAACTGCTTTGATTTTGTATTCCTCTGTTTTTATGAGATTTGCATGGTGTGTTCAGCCAAGGAATATGCTATTATTTGCGTGCCACCTCACTAATGTTACAGCACAAACCACACAGGGGCTTCGTTTTGTAAGTTATAATTTTTTAAGTTCATCCAAAGATCTTAAACAAGGTAATTGATCAGCAATTACAAAGTAACAAAAAATACGGATAAAGTTGTTTCTCGTATACAATAATTGGAGAACAAATGATAGATAGAAAATTTTGTAAAAATGTTAATTTATGTGGCACCTTCCTATTATAATTTTAATTGTAGCTTTTTGAATTATATATTGAAGTCAAATGTAAATAGAATTTAATTAGAAATTGAATAAGAAGGGGATTAATTTATATGCCAATGTTTTTCTTTTCTAAACGTTTATATACGCAATTTTATTTTTAATTACATACATTATATTTTAAATAGCAGTTGTATTTGTCAGATTAATTTCCAAGCCGACAAAATGTATAAATCCACGTTTTTCAAGAGATCATGCAGATTAAAGGTGGAATTGGAATACTATTTGTTTTTTCTACGTCCTTTTTTACTTGAATTTGAACTAGGTCCGTTTTTATCTGTTAGGGCTGGAGGAACAAGCACTGTGCCTTCTTTTATTTCTTCTTTCATGTCAGATTCAGCAATTTTGCTCTGAGCGTCCATGTAGAACATAATATCCCGTAGTTGTTCCTTGACTTCGGTCAATTCTAATTCCTTTTTCTCCTGGTATTCTTTAAATTTTCTTTCCAAGATGGCATATTTACATTGCCAAGTAGATTGATTATCCTGTAACGCTTTCGTCATTTGACATTCTTCTGCCAATTGCTTCTGAGCTTCTCTTAGTCTGGAATTAAATAAAATTGTAAAGACAAAAATGCTTCAAATAAGAAATTTAAAAGTTCTAACTTTGCTAGATTTTGATTGATTTTTTTTTCCAAAGATGATTTTTCTCTTGTTAATATTTGAATTTTTTGCTCCATATCTACAAATTTACTTAAGATTTCATCAGTTTTTCCCCTTTGTTTCGCCCAGTCCATTTCAATTGAATTCAATTTTTCTTCGTAGTATTTACGTTGAGTGTCTAACTGCGATGTGAGGAGATAAGTAAACTCTAATTGCATGGAATCAATTTTTTCCTTTCCATCATCTTCTTCCCCATTTCCATGAGGATTTTGTGATGCTACGAGTTTTCCATCTGTCTTATTTTGATACAAACGATGAACAAAATTATCTCCCGCGTAGTCCCAAACACTCGAGGTACCCAACTGCATGGCATAAGTATGATTGGTAGCACGATAGTGTGCCGCAGCATGACCTCCTTGATATCGACCGCAACCTACATGGCCGCATATTAAGCAAATCCAAAGCGCTTCATTACCTTCGCATTCCATGCAAACAGAATTCTCCATTAGTTCGGGTGTTTGAACATGTCGACAAACGGGACAAGTAGAATCCCCCCACTTTATCAAACAATTCGCGTGAAAAGCATGATTGCAAAGAATAGTTAACACTCCGTCAACGCTTTCATCCATTCGTTCAAGACATACGGGACAATTTGGAAGTTCCGTATGCCCCAACGGCGGAAGTCCATCATCACCCCACTCTATATTTGAAACCCAAACAGCATGGCAAACAGAGTCCGGTTCTATCGAATTGTAGGCTGCTCCGTTGTAAGTTTTATAGAATTCCAGAGCCGATTTATTAGATCGAAATCTAAAATGAAATATATTTGTTATACACGCGTGGTAACGATTTGCACTATTCGTTTTTTACTCTAGTATCACCATAAATTGATTTGGACTACCATCTCTAATAATTCTTATGTGTTGTATAAATTCATGGCAAGGTGCAACAAATTTTAGCAGGTCATGGCAACTTAAACTCGCTGGTACTGCTAATAAACAAAGTTGAGAACTTGGTATGTCTTCAACTTCCTTTCTCTCACTAAAAACCATAATAATTAAAGTCAACATGCAAACTCAACATCAAATCAAAAACTTGTTTTACTTTTTCTTAAAAAGATGAATAATACCATTAGTTACTTCAACAAAAGGGTTTCCAGAAAAAAAACTTATTTCTTTTGGAAATTCTGTATTAGTCGCGGATAACGGTAGATCAATTGAATTTGTGTCTTCAAGCGGTGTTACTTCTCTTGATCCTGTCGGTAATATAGCCCTGACAGGCGGTTTTGGGTTAGTTTGTTGATTTTCATAAGATTCAATAATTATTCCAGAAGTTGTTCGCAGCCCTCTATCACGTTCACGCTCCTTTTGTGCTCGAGAATTACTTGCAGATGAGTCAACTGATGCGGCTCCATGTTCTGCCACTAGCAAAGAAAATTTTTAATTAAGTCGATAAATTTTAATTTACAAAATAGTTTTAACTATACTTTGATCTTGTCGATAATCGAAGTCAATTTCAATTTTAATTATACACAAAGAAATTTTACCAGGCATTTATTGACGCAACATTTGTTTTCCTTTGTTTATGAATTTTCCAAAATTTTTTTGTACATAAAATTAATTGCTATCGACTATTATCGTGTCAGCTGATTTAAGCTAAGATAGAGATGAGTGATTAATATAAAGAATCGATATCGTTGTTAGTAAAGAATTTGTTTCTTCTTGTTGCGATAGCGTACCACAAATATCGATAGTTGATATTAGGTCTGTCTGATATAAGAAAATTTCTAAAAACCTTATAAAACTTGAAAAAAGTTTTTGCATGCAAAGCGTTTATGATACTGATTGACGGTCACTTCCCACAAAAATACCATTCAACCATTTAACTTTAATGGGCGCTAATTATCGATGTGGATAATTTTTTTTTACAAAAATGAGAGGAAATGATGACGTTTTCATCTTCTCAATGTTTAAAGTTTTTTCAAGTTTCTGTAAACTAAAATTTAGTGTTTTAAAAATTTTTTAAAATCTTAAAGCTGTCAAAACATATGCTTTTCTTAGTTATGTCAGAAGATTTTATTTTTCAAAAAAAAATTTTTCATCATCAATAATTTTTTGTTCACAACTTTTTTATTAAAAATAAAATAAGATAAGGAAAATGGATTCACAATGCTTTTGAATTCTCATGATTTTCTCAAAGTTTCACACTTATATAGTTCAAAATAAAAATTTTCTTTTTTTTTGCATAACGGAAAAATACAGTAGTCACGCGTTTATATGAACATCGCTTTATGTGAACATCGGGATTATATGAACAGCGATTTTTTGACATTAACAACTCTATTATATGAACACTTAAAAAATTCACACTCTTTTATATGAACATTTTTTTTTTCTCTATTTAAAATCGTAATCACATAAATACAAATAAAAATTTACGGTACCAAAAATATGAAGAATATGAAATTGATACCCAGATAGCATGCAAATCTTTCAAAGCCATCTGTATTTTGCTTTATGCTTTGGTAAAATCGCCGAATTTTTGCTATCAGGGAAACTGCATGTTGATTCTTGAACGGTTTTTTTGTGTTCATACATGATCTTAAAAATACATAAACATTTCAATTTTTGGTTTTGTTTTAAGCAATATTGTTGTAGGTCAGTATTATTTTCGCTATGGTTCGTAAAATACGCAAAGTTTTAAGGCTTAATGACAAACAGTGTATAATAGAAAAATTAAAAAGAGGTGCAACTGTAACTAATTTAGCAAATGAATATAATGTGGCAAAATCGACTTTATGTAACATTAATAAAAATAAAATTGGAATTATAAAAGCAATTAGCTACACTTTTTTGGGGCCTGGTACACGAAAAACTCTTAGGTTAACTTTACTACAGCTGATGTTCAAAGATGGAATACAGATATTGAATGTGAGCTTGAAGACGATGATGCTATTTCATCTTCAACAGAAATCGCATCCAGTCCTGTATGTATTTCAACAATAGATGCAATAAAAGCAATAAATACGGTTTTAGAATGGGCAACGGAAAATTCTGACGATTATAAGGATATAGAAACCCTCAGAAAGTTACGAGAAAAAGCTGTTTTAAAACAAATACAAGCACCTTGTGTTCAAAAAAAAATTTCAGACTACATACGTATTGGTTAAAATCAGTTTAACTTTGTTTTTTGAATGTTTTTGTTTTATTTATGAAATTATGAATTGTGTTTTTTTTTATTTGAGATTAAACATAACACATTCAATTAGCGTAAAAATAATGTCTTTTATTTACCCCCACTTATATGAAAACTTCGTTTATATGAATTGGCTTTGCTTTAATTAGTTCATATAAACGCGTGGCTACTGTATTAATTTATGTTTGATAAATCTAGGGTTTTCTGTCAAAACATCATATCTTCATTTTTGCCATTTCGAATAAAACTCCTTTGAAAGTTTTTTGTGTTATTTTTATTTTACTAAGCCAGGGAAAATTTAGTTAATTTAAAACGTTAGCATTTAAAATGTTGCTACATAGTATTAAAATGGTTACACTTTTTCAATTGCAATTAATATCAATCAAAACTAAATAAGTTCACTTCTATAGTTTTAAATGTTTTTAAAAGTGTGTTTCACTTGTAAAATAACCAAGGTTAACATTTGAATATGAAATGCAGAAATGAATATGTGTACATGTTTCATTTTCAACTTAAAACGAAACGGTATAAAAACATGAATACATTTTCAATTCAAAAGTGTCTGACATGGCATACCTATGAGCCTTATTTTAGTTGTCGCGTCACTTACGTGGCATTTGTCGTTGTCGTTATCACATCATTTGAAATGTGGTATTCTGGTTGTCGAGCGACGTGAGTGCGAGAAATAATCGAAAATGAAACGTTTCAAGTGAAATTGATACATTTTAAAAAGAAATTTCGGCGAGTAAAGTTCAAACTAAAAAAAATTTTCAGTATACATATTTATATTTTTAAATAATAAAAAATGACATTTGCATTATGGTTTACGGATTCATCTCATTTCGGTAGTGATGAAATTAAAAAAAACAACAATTAAGGATCAAGAGATTTAAGATTAGCGACAGCTCTAATCCATTGAATTTGTCAAATGGAGTGTAAGCCAATACCATAATTTTTATACCCTGCACTTTGTGAAAAGAATTTGTGAATAATGCAGTCGACGCCAAACTTTCACAAGTTGTTTCTTTTGTGCCAAGGACGAACCCTATTGTAATTGGACTAATTCAGACAACGGGTTGGGGTAGCTGCCATACAACTCAAAGACTTTATTTTAAATATTTCAAAAACTAATAAAGGTATAAATATAAAATTTTGTACACATGCGTCCAATTATATTCCACATATGCTCTAAAAATTTTAATGGGATAACTGCACCGGTTCGGGTGGCTGCCATGCAACTCCAAAAGCAAATTTTTTATATTCGGCAAAATAATAAAGTCGGATTTATGAAACTTGACATTCATGTGTCTACTTATAGATCAGATATATTTGTGAAGTTTTAGTGGAATTGCTTGACAGGTTCGGGTACCTGTCTTATAACTCCAGAAGCTAATATTAAATATTTGGAAAAGTAATTAAGTCAGATTCATGAAACTTGGCAGTTGTGCGTCCAGTTATATGCCAGATAAATTTCTGAAGTTTTGGTGGAATTGCTTGACAGTTTCGAGCAGCTCCTATACAAGTTCAAAACTTTATTTTAAATATTTGTAAAAATAATAAAGTTAGATTTATGACACATGGTAGTTGTGTGTCCAATTATAGATCAGATATAATTGTGAAGTTTTAGTGGAACTGCTTGACAGGTTCGGGTACTTGCCATACAATTCCAAAAGCTAATTTTAAATATTTGGAAAAATAATAAAGCAGATTCATGAAACTTGGCAGTTGGATGTCCAGTTAAATGTCAGAAATATCCGTGAAGTTTCTATAGAATGGTTTCACAGGTTCGAGAAATTGGTATACAACAACCAAAGGTGCAGGGTATAATTCAATCGGTTTATACCGACTGAAACGTTTTTACTTGTTTCAAGTAAGTTAGTTACAAACATTTTATTTTATTCACAGATTTATAAACTATTACAGATTTCCAAAGGAGGCCTTTGTATATTTACTGAATATATTCGACGGAAAAACGAGTACACTTAAAAGGCGTTCTCTGTCATGAAATTTCCAATTTCTTAAATTTATAAATACTTTCACGCTAAAAACAAAAATTAAATTATATATTTTATGATTTAATTTATGTATAAAATTGACTTTTTTTTATGATTTTGTATTATGATTATGAACAAAATAAAAAAACACTGTTTATTTATATCACAAGCTTTCACCACTTTGCATACACTATTTCATCTTTGGGAAGCCTCAAAAACTTAAGTAGTTTCTTTTTCTGCATTTCTACCCTCATAATTCTATTTTTGTTATACCAAGAACAGTAAATTTCTTTTAAAAATTTTTTATTTTTGTTTATTTTTTTTAGCATTTAAACCCTGGATACAAAAATATTTTACTTTTTCTTTTACACCCCAACAAGCAATTTATCTCGCAAGTTGCTTAAAATTAACTTAATTTGGAGTTACAGTTCATGAAAATAGTTTTCGAATTTCAGATTGAAAAAAGGGGAATCTTAGAGAAGAGTGGAAAGCTGCAATTGGAGTGGAAACAAAGCCGGAATCCAAATAAAGTACGAGTGAATTTCTCCTACACAGGCGGGTAATGGGAATATTATGGTTTCTGAAGCGAATATCATTGTTCTCGAATTCGCTTAAATGGTATTATAGTTTGCTGGTTTGCGAAGCGAATAAAGTTATTTCGAGGGAAATGTTAAAACTAGGCGAATAAAAATTGTATGTGATTACAAGTAATTTTTAAAACTTTGTTGTGATTTTCAATTGATATTTTATATTATTTTAAGAATTTATGGTGGAGGTTATTGTGAAAAAAGATAAAACATTAGTAGTAAAATAAATTTTAATTTTTAGTTCTTTATATTAATCTAAATCTTATTGAAAACAAAAAAATTTGATAAATCTTTGCAGCATTTATTGCAAGTAATAAAAATATTTGTTTTTTTCATGGCAAAACAAAAGGAGCGTTTGCGAATACATAAGATAATAATTCATAAATTTTTAGTAATGTAAAGCAATCAGGACGTAGCTCGCGGTAGAGTTAAGTTTGGATTCAATAAAAGTATGTTGAGAGGAAATGTGAACTTTGCTATGGAGTCAAACGTTCTGGGACCTCCAAAAAAATCAATTATACTGACTCAGTTTCTTGTAACTCCAATGAATTTGATTAATCCCTTATACCTTTTCGTGTCCTTCGAATATTTGCATTTGCATCGTCTTCACTACAATTACTGGTGTACTCATCACAATAGAATAAATCGGCACTCGATGAAAACATATTTTCATTATTTCATAAAGTAAAAATGTTAAGATATCAATTAAATATAAAATTTATGAAAAATATTTTTATATTTATAATCCATATTACTCACTTCCTTTATTTTTTAATAGCTTCGAATGTAATTTTTTTGAAATCTCGACAGCAAACACTTTTTCCTAGCGAACCATAATAACATTTAGACGAATTTGAGAACAATGACATTCGTTTCGCGAACCATA